TTCTTTTTTTTGTTGTTTTTTTTTTTCTAAAATTGTTACACCAAATTATTACAAAACATTTTTTTTTTCGTGATCTGACATAGCTCCCGCATAATTATTTAGACTGGAAGGATAACCTCATTTTTTCTCGATGAGATATCGACGAGTGAACGCTGCTTACATAACAGTTATAGTCCGTCGTACAGACAGACCCTTTTTAGCAGATTATTAACACCTGCCAAAAACTTCATCTTATCGTAACATACAAATTAACACTGCGAAAATTCTCTGAAATGGGATGTTAATTAATTTTTATTAGGTACTAAAAACTCATAAATACTCATTTGTATTATCTATATAAATAGAATAAAGATTTCATCTGTACATTGAATAGAATCAACCTGTTTCATGAAATCTTGCCGTTTTATAAATCACGGACATCAAATCCACTTTAAAAAAAAAATTTTGTCTGCCTGTATGTCCGCATTGCAACGAAATTTTCTCAGGAGTAAACTCGGCATTGCTAATGGTAGACTTTTGACATTTTAACATTTTATTAAGGTTTGCTTGACTTAAAACATAGGTTTTAAATGAAAACAAAATATTGAGTATAACCAAAGTTATGAATTCTTGAGTAATTTGTCAAGAGATCTCGGTTAATGTTGATAATAAATGTTAATAATAAACATATGTTTATAGGGTAAAGAACATCTATATAAATAAAATAAAAGGTTTCGTCAGGACATTAAATAGAATCAATCCGTTTCATGATATCTTTCCGTTTTATACAATACGGACATCAAATCCAATTTAAAAAAAACTTTTTGTCTGCCTGTATGTCCGCATTGCAACGAAATTTTCTCAGGAGTAAGATCGGCAATGGCTAATGGTAGACTTTTGACATTTTAACATCATATTAAGGTTTACTTGACTTAAAACATAGCCTTTAAATGAACACAAAATATTGAGTATAACCAAAGTTATGAATTAGTGAGTAATTTGTCTAGAGATCTCGGTTAATGTTGATAATAAATGTTAATAATAAACATATGTTAATAGGTTAAAGAACATCTATATAAATAAAATAAAAGGTTTCGTCAGGACATTAAATAGAATCAATCCGTTTCATGATATCTTTCCGTTTTATACATTACGGAAATCAAATCCAATTTAAAAAAAACTTTTTGTCTGCCTGTATGTCCGCATTGCAACGAAATTTTCTCAGGAGTAAGATCGGCAATGGCTAATGGTAGACTTTTGACATTTTAACATCATATTAAGGTTTACTTGACTTAAAACATAGCCTTTAAATGAAAACAAAATATTGAGTATAACCAAAGTTATGAATTCTTGAGTAATTTGTCTAGAGATCTCGGTTAATGTTGATAATAAATGTTAATAATAAACATATGTTTATAGGGTAAAGAACATCTATATAAATAAAATAAAAGGTTTCGTCTGTACATTGAATAGAATCAACCCGTTTCATGATATCTTTCCGTTTTATACATTACGGACCCCAAATCATCTTTTAAAAAAAAATGTTGTTTGGACGTCCGCATTGTCCAACAAAATTGTGTCAGGAGTAAGCTCAGCAATTGCTAATGGTAGACTTTTTAAATTTTGACGTTACATTTAAGTTTGCTTGACTTAAAATATAGGCCTTAAATGAAAACAAAATATTGAGTATAACCAAAGTTATGAATTCTTGAGTAATTTGTTTAGAGATCCCGGTTAGGCAGTTACTTCGATTCTAATCCCACATTTAAAAGTTGTACTACTCAACTGATGGAAAAAATTATCACAACTCAACAGGAAACACGTTGTCGCATAAAACGGGTAAAACACACTCATTTTTCAACTTTCTCCGATCTTCCCGTTCATGGTGTCATTCAATTCAACTTTCCGAGTTTAACAAATGTTGTCGTATATATTTTTAGGATTAACCAAACGGATTACCCGGAAATCAGGCGTCATATTCAGATCATGTTCTAATTTTACACGGATGTAGGTGACTCAATGTCCAATGTTATTTTGCCAGAGATAAACTCAGCAGGGTTTAAAGAGGTGGAGAGACTAAAACTCTTTTTGATTAATTAATCGACTCCACAATCTCCTCGCTTCATCATAAATGAAAATTAAACACTCAACAAATTTTAATGGATCGGTGGTGGTCGGCATAGTTGTGTGGTAAATAAACAAATAGTCGAATAAAAAAGTTTTTGTTATGACTATTGCGAAGCCATTAACTATACACCCGTTAACGACGGGTACATCAGCTAGTACTAAAATAATTAAATCATATGATCGAAAAAAAAAGAGGGGGCATACAAAAACATAACGTAACCTCGCTATTTTAACATGTCGATTTTGTAATAAAATTATCTTAGGATTCAAGTGTAAAGCAAATGGATATAGATGAGTTTTTAGTATCTAATTAAATACACAACGTTTGCCGATCTTCAGATTGAAAACGCCGCAAATCTAAGAATTTTCGTAAATGAAAAATTTATAGGTTACGATGAGATAAAACTATTCCCGAATTAGCAGATGTTAAGAATTTGAAGCAAAAACTCCACGTTTTAAAAATATTGCTGAGCCATTAAAAGAATTTATGAAAGGCGCAGACTTTAAATTATGAATTAGAAGGAGGGGGGCGATGGGCCAAAAAAATTAATGGTGGAAGTTTTTATTATATGTAAAAATTCAATATAATTATTATGAAAGGAATACACATAATATTGAATATTTAAAATTAATTTGTTTATATCTTTGTATCGTTGTAAAGACTTTTATTATTTGTTTTACTTTATTATTTGTTATTTATGTACTAGAAAACATCTAAAAAAAATCTGGTGTGTCCACTCACACTACTTTCCTACCTATTTCAAAAAGTTTGTTGTTACCTATTTCAAAAACAAAAACTGTGTTTTTCGGACTCAGGAGGATCTGAAAGGTATAGATCCGTCGAAAACTTGCATGTCGGAAATTTGACCCGATTGCAATACTTTCCTTACCTAGTATAGGTAGGAAAGTAATAAGTTAAAAAAATAGAATAAGCTGTATCATCGCTAATACTGGTTCGATTCCGATGATTTTTTTTTTTTTTTTTTGGTAATTTAATTACCTTTCAAAAGTTTTATTATAAATTTTACCGTATAATATATACATAAGAAGTTAGGCCCTATAACATTTTTCTTTTCTTTATAATTTTTTTTCCTTTTTTTTTTGGGAAGTTAGTCTATATACGAAAATTGAATAAACAATGGTTAGAACATTATAGGAAAGTTTCATCAAAATCGTTAGAGCCGTTTTTTCGCTACAGTCTATAGAAAAACATGTTTTTATTTATTGCTATTGCGCATGGAGCACCGAATTTCTGTCACAGCCATCAGTAGTCAAAACTCTACAAAATAAAAAAAGAAGCAACAAAATCGGTTCAGTAGTTCCCGAGAAAATCTTGGCACAGACAGACAGACAGACAGACCAATGGCTAAAAATGTGTTTTTCGGACTCAGGGGGCTGTGAAACGTATAGATCCGTCGAAAACAGCATGTCTGAAATTTGACCCGATTGCAATACTTTCCTTACTTGCGTTGCCCAAATGCGAGATCGAGACGAGTCTTGTCTTGCAAACTCAATCTTGGTCATGGTCTTGGTCTTGCGTAAGACTCTAGCAACAGTCTTGCAGTTACTTATTAGCTTATTACTATAGGGATATTACTGTATCTTTTTAGATAGGAGAAACCTAACTAAGCCCAAATGAAAAATTAGACGAGTTGAATGCAAAAGTATATTAGTTATATCAATTAATTTCATATAGTAACTAAGACTGTCAATTATTAGTAGCTTTTTAGAATTAATTTTTATTTAAAAAATCGATTATTTTACCAGTCCTGGTCTTGGTCTTGCAACAGTTAGGCGACCTTGGTCTTGGTCTCGCAAAGTGCAAGACCAAGACCGATTTTGGGCAACAGTATTCCTTACCTAGTATAGGTAGGAAAGTAAAAAATATATACACATACATATTTAACACAGAGGGAAGGAAAGACAGCCTTCCTAAGATTGGTACATTTCTTGATCTCTTTCAGTTAAAAATGAATAATGTAAAAAAGTGAAAAATATCTTTGATTTATTAGTACGTAAAGCCTCAAATAAAAATACATTTTTCACAATCCGGCTAGTTTGCAGCGAAAAATGTAATAAGAATATCCCGTGAATATTCAGGGATGATTAAATCATAAAATCCTTAGATACGTTGTTATATATTATTATATTTCGATATAAATGACAATTTAAATAAAAATAACATTTAAGTATCAATAAAATAGTTACATATCTACTACTAGGCCTTATAGTCCTGAATTTACGATTCAAAAAGTTCACTTTTTCGATTTTTCGCTTATATCAGTGAAACTATGTGTTCTATCTATAATAATGTCATAAGTGAAATAAAAGCTGACAAAATTTGCAATAGAAATGGTTATGGTCTGTGTGTCTGAGTATATGTGAACACTCTAGCTCAAAAATGGAAAGTCGTAGGAAACTTATATTATTTATTTATGATAGGTATATGCCTTGGATGTCACAGCAACTTTATCCTTAAAATCGGCTAACCGGAAGTGCCACTTTATATCAACGGTGAAACACATTTTTACAATTTTCTCAACAGCTCTAACGATTTTGATTAAACTCGGTTTATCATTATATGACTAAGTGGTCTTTAATATCATTTAGGTCTTATCCCAATGTCACTTTATAGAGCTTAAATGCCCCATGTTCATACGCGTTTCTCTCTAAAGTACATTTAATATAGTTCAAATAATTAACTAATCACTCATTATTAAGAGTTACGAAAAAATGCTGAATATAACTTTTGAAAGAATTTGATAATTGAATAAAGGTGAAAAAAATAAAAATGCTTATGGAAAGTTGAGCGGTAAGTGAAAGTTGTGTGTTGCGCGCACCAGATTTTTTTTTTAATTCGTTTAAGGAATAAAATATTGCCTGTTTCTTTTTAGGGTCATAAAAGAAACCATCAGATTTACTAGTCCTTCATTTGTTGGAAGGTTGGCTACTGAAGATATAAATATAAGTAAGTAATACTTTATCATATTTATTTTTCAAGATTTAAATTATTTTTATAACATGAGGTTGAGGCTACAAGGATTTTTTTTTTATTATAATTAGAAAACCATTTAAACTTAGATAAGGCCCATTTTTTATTATGTTAATAATATTTTTTGTTTTAAATGCAATGAGAAATTTCAGATTGTAATTTCTTTGGCAGTGTTGTAAAATTTGAGTTGTGTAGCAACTAACTCACCGAAAAGCGAATGCGCAGAATCTACTGTTCATAGGCCGAAGCCTCTTGAGCAATAGCTTTTGTTACATTAAGATCATTCTTATTTATTTATTTTTTTAATTTTCGCTTTTACTTACTTATTTTTTTTTTTTTTCATTTTTTCCCCTCTTTACCTCTCGTCTAAACAGTTGGTAGAAGTATCGCGCTAATTTATAACCACCACTTTTTCTGTAATTCCTCTCTCTTCTAGAATGGCCACTCCATAGGAAGAAACTTTCAATTTTGATTGGGAGGGGGGCGAAGGACTAAAAAGAAGAAAAAAATGGTAGCGGTTTATATTATGTATAAAAATTCAACATAATTATTGTGAAACAAACCAATATAACATTAAATATTTAAAATTTATTTGTTTATACCTTTGTACAGTCATAAGGTTTTTTTTTTTGTTTAACTTAATATATATACTTGAAATTATCTTTTAAAAAATACAATTGAGTATATAACGCATTTGTTTAGATTAAACAAAGAGAGGGTGGGAGAAACAGCTTCCCCAACATTGGTTCATTTCTAGAATATTTTCAGCTAAAAATGACTGATGTAAAAAAGTAAAGAATATTTTTAATTTCTTAGCAACCTCAAATAAAAGACAACAGCCCGACTAGTTCGCCGCGGAAAATGTGAATAACACGTGAAAATTGAGAGGGGATTGAATAAAAAAATCCTAGAATATGATGAAAGTAGAGAGAAATATGTAAACAAACATTAGCAGACCTCCAGAGCTATAAAAAAAAGATTATATAAAAACTGGTCCAATTTTCGGCAGAATATTAGGAAGTTTATTTTTTGTGTTTTTTTAAGCAAGTCATGGTTTTTTTTTATGAATAGGAAGCGATAACTTAAATATAGTTCAATATAGTTAATTATAAATTGGTTAACTGTAAACTGGACAAAATTTACTTCAAATTAAAGTGGAGTTTGTCCTTGTTAAAACCATTTAAAGAGGACTTTTGAACGGATAAACTAAGCTAAGTTCTGTTTTTAGAAAAATCATAAATTATTTGCCTTTTTTTTATCATCATACTACAGTTTCCCAATTTTTACAAAAACTTCTTCGTTTAATAAACTTTAAGTGCATATTAATGAAGTTGAGTGTTTATTAGGAAGTAAATTTAAATCTTCCTCAAGTTGTGTAAAAAATTATGTGTTTTGATATCTTGTTACCTTAAAGTACCCATGTTATCAGCAAAACTCACCAGAATAAATGGTTGTAAAGCTTTAGTTTATTTTTTCTCCACCTGGAATATATTGTAAAAATATAAATTCATAAATACACTTTTTATTTATTGCAAACAAAAATGTCAATGTCTAAAAAATGTCTAGTTTCCTCTCTTGTTTTCCCCCACTTCGACTATGACTGCATGGTGCGCGGTGGACTCTCGAGAGAACTCGAAGCCAAACTTAAATGCCTAATCAATTATTAAAGAAGATTTTTTTTCGGGATCTCAAGGTATACGCACATTACCCAGAACTACGCCGAGGTGAAGTGGCTCTATCCGTCCTACCGCCGTAAATACTTACCAATAATCTTTCTTTATCAGGTTATTAAAACCAAGAGACCCTCCGATATTTTTCAGAGCCTACAATTTGTTGCGGTATATTTCCGCCCGCCACCTGCTTAACAACCTACTAAGGACAAATAGTTCACCTGCCCGCTACCTGGCAGCGCCATACGAGCTCGTGCAATGTATCTAAAACCTGGATTACTTTCACTTAGCTATATATGAAATACATAGTAAAGAAATATATAGTATGGCGATCGTGAAAATTTTTCAATCTCAGTTTTCAATAGAAATACATGTTTTGAGGTCCTCTGAGTCCAAATAACCAAGTCTAGCAAAATGGTCTGTGTTTGTTTTAAAAGTCTAGCTCAAAAACGAAAAGTAGTACGAAAGTGATATTACGTATTTAAGATGGGTATATGCCTTAGATGTGACAGCAACTTTTTTGTCTAAATCGGCTAACGTGAAGTGCCACTTTATATCAACGGCGAAACACATTTTTACATTTTTTTCAAAAACATTTCTAACGATTTTGATAAAACTCTATCATTGTATAATTAAGTGTTATTTAATATCATTTAGGCCTTATCTCCATTGATTTCACTTAACAGGGCTTAAATGCCCAATGTTCATATACATCTTCCTCTCAAGTACTTTTGATATGGTTTATTTAAAAAAAATTAACTCTCGTTTATTGACAGTAACTATAAAAAATGGCTAAGTATGAAGTTTGAAAAAATATTATAATCGTTGTTTCCTTGTTGTTTCTTCTTTCCTAACTAAGGGAAGTTGTACACTGTGATCATGTAGTGTCCAGTTTCCCTAAGTAGTTTGGCCCTTATTGTCTCAAAAGTGGTGACACGATCAATACTTTCCAGAATATCAAAATAAAGACATATAGGGTTAATTTCCTTCCCTGAGTTATGAAGCTTTGTGCAAAACTCCCTGTGTCCTGTGAGGAATTGTTTAATAGAATTAACTCTAATCGACAAAACAATAATTTCTCCATGCAATATGAGTTGAATAATTAGGTATATTTTAATTTTCAGATGGTATAACAATACCTCGAGGTACTTCTGTTATATATCTAAATAGATACATGAGAATGGATCCAAAATACTGGAAGGATCCAGAAGTTTTCGACCCGGATCGCTTTCTTGAAGAAAGTGAGACATTAAAATATTCTTATTCACCATTTGGAGTAGGTGTAAGAAACTGCCCAGGTAAATATTGCAACTTATTAAATGGTTGATATATTATGATCTAATAATAACTGTAGGCCATTCTCTCAAATTGCCAGAATTTCTATCACTAACATTTTAATTAAAACCTGATAGTATGATTTTATTCAGCCAGTAGTTCTGGTCTCTCTCGATAAGCCTATTCGAATTTCACTTTAATCGGATTCCTCTAAATGGGATTGGATGATTTTCAATAAATAATAACGACATCAAACCACAAATATCAATGCTTCTAAAAATTCAAATAAAAAATTTCATTGCTATTGCAATGATAAATCTAAAATATCTGCTAGATACAGGAACAATAGTAGCAGGCTCAAAATGTCACCTTGAAGGATCCTGAAGTAATATTAATGGTTATATAGTAAAAAGATAAAACTAAAATGTCAGGCAAAATCTAATGTTACAATGTAATCCATATTCTTCCATTTACGTTGATTGATGCATTTAAATTATAATTTTATCTATATTTACTTAATTTATGTTTATAATTGTACTTTCCTTATTACTAGTTATAATATTGCAAGCATTATTCTTTCCATTTATAACAGCTGTTATATGTAGACAAAAAAAATATAATTATATGTATATAGTGGCTCACAGTGAAATTGATACACCCCATAGACAAATGGAAAAAATACTTCAATGGTTACAGTAAATAAATAAAACCAGAAACTCTTCAACAGATTTATTTATAATATCATTTTAAATATGTAAACATTAAAGAAAATTTAAATATTCAACTGTATTTAAAAAATAATTTAAAAAATAAAACTGGCTAACTCATACGTTATTAACTTTTAAATACATTGTTTAAAATAATATTTCATTGTACCTGTGTGAAAGAAGAATTGTAATATAAAAATATTTCAAGGATATGTTTATAACCTTAAATATATTTGGTGAAGTTTAATTACTCTAAAGATGATATTATATTTAAATAACAGGTATCTATTGGTCGTTTTTCCAAAAAATCATCTAGTAACCTTTTAGACAATTAAATTAGTGAATAATTTGATGAACTTTTCCTCTGTGAAATCCCAACATTATCCACTTGCAATTAGTGTGACAACTTTTGACCTGTCTGTGGAAGACAATGCAAATCTCTTAATTCCGTTTTAGTAAACTTTGCAATGAAAAATAACAGTAAAAAACTCGTAATATCATTTTAATAAACTTGAACAATGGAAAGTAATGGTTTAATAACCAATAGTCATACAATCGATTATAATTTATAGGTTAAATATTCTGATGTACTTACAAATCTCTCTAGGCATATATGAGCTTTTGGGTTGACAGAATGACTAATTCCAATTTCAAAATTCTTCAATATTAATTTTAGTGATATTTCTAGTGGCATAATGTATACCATTATTCACAGTATTATAAAGGTATAAACTGAAGTTGTGTAGTTTATAAAAGCAGATGTAGGAACTAGATTTGTATTGCCTACTGTCAGTATAATTTAGTTCAACACCTCCTTGCAGGTAAGCCATTATTTTCTACCACGCCTTTTGGTCTTTTTGTAATGGAGTCGCCCAATTTTTTGGTGATTCTGTACTCAGCTGGTTTCATTCTTCAGGGAGATATTTTTTAAGGTCTTCTTTGCTATAAATTTCATGTTTTCTAATTTATAACTCCAATTTTGCACCACAGTTGTTCTATAACATTATAATATGGTGACTGTGGTGGTCTTGCGTAACTTTGGGGCAGTTACAACACAGTCATGCCTTAACTAACATGACAGAGTGGTTAGGGTCATTATCCTGATAAAACCAATATTTTTTTTCATCCAAATTTTCCACAATTTCTTTAAATTTTCTTCTCAAAATGTTTATGTAAACATGTTTATTCACTATACCAGGTGAATATTTCCACTATAAGGTGAAGACTTCCTACACCAGAAGCCACCATACATCCCCACACCAAGAAATATAATATAAGAAAAGAACATAAAAAACAAAAATAAAATAAAATAAATAACATAAGAAAATAACATTTCACTAGGATGTTTATCGATTAAAATAAATTATTGTTTTTAATGTAATATAAATTAAACTGTACCATAATTAAATTCTATTAAATGAATATCATTCAATGACAAAATTTGAAAAAAAAAACCTGGTGCGCACAACAACACAACTTTCACTTACCACTCTACTTTGGATAGAAATTATTATTATTATATATTTCATATATAGGTAAGTGAAAGTAATAATATTAATTTACTGCAATGGACCATAGTCTAAAAGAACTTTCCTGCTGCTTTTGAAGTCGTCCATCACTTCCAAATGTTATACATTTTATATTTACATTATACCATGTATATCAATGAATAATTAAGTTTTGATAATTAATAAAGAATATTTATATTTTTCAGGCATGTTTTATGCAACAACGCAGATGAAAATTTCATTATCAACAATATTAAGAAGACTAAAACTTAGAACAGCTCAAAAAGATTTTAAATTTGCAGATATCAAATTTATCTCTTGCCTTATGACAGAAATCAAAAATCCTCCTGTGCTGCAAGTTGAAGAAAGAGTATGATATAGTAGTGTATATATATTTTTTTATCAGTTGCAGATTCAAATGGAGGGTGTAAACACATATCAAGAAAAAAATATTATTCACCATTATTCTTCATGTAAACACCTTTTTTCTTTTGCTTCCAAAATAATTACCGTTATAAAAAAAATAAAAATTAAATTCTGAATCTGCGACTGCTTTGTATTATATTTTTAGTTTCCACCTGCCAAAAGTTAATTTAAGAAGTTCATCAGCAAATGGTCCAACGTTTTTAGAAAATTAGTATAGATTTATATTAGTATAGATTTATAGATGTTACATAGAAAATAGTCGATAGATAATAAAATTGTTTGATCCATATTTACTCAGTAACATTTTTAAACAATCCTACTTCCCTATCGCAAGTATTACTTATATGTTTTTAAAGTTTAATCACTATAAACTATGTTTTTTAACTTAAAAAATAATGTACAATAAATATGACGAATATACAAACTATTTTTTGTATAAAGAAAGTATTTAATATTAGAAAAAAATTCGAAATAATTAAAAAAATCAAACATTTATGGAATCATAATTTTAAAAAAAGAAAAATTAAGACTTATTTTTTTGAATCTAGAAAATTATATATACAGTTAAAAATATACTGTGTGAATAAACTCACACACTTATACAAAGATATATATATATATATATATATATATATATAGAGAGAGAGAGAGAGAGAGAGAGAGGAGAGAGAGAGAGAGAGAGAGAGAGAGAGAGAGAGAGAGAGAGAGAGAATAGAATAGAATAGAAAAGAAGACTCAACTTCATTCTGGGACAAAGTCCCTTGAGAATAATAATATTGTACATAAAAATTAATATAACATCTGGCCAAAATTCATATTACAATAAAAAAACAAAACAAAAAAAAACTAAAAACTAATTAATAAAAGAAGTATTTACATAACTATACAGATATATTAAAGACATAATATAAATGAAATTTGAAATGAGCAACAAATTACTTTTGTTGTCATACCATTGAATTAATGAAAAAAAAATAATAATAAAAGAGTGGATAAATATTTACTTTAAATGATTTACATATGTACCTTAATATGTTCAAAGAATACAATAATAGTATTGTAAACATTATACAAGCCCTATATAATCTAAATCCTATGATGTTGATTGATCGGAGAAAATATACATATAGAGGAGATTATATGCATGTATGATATACATGATAAATGTCTAACCAGCATCAGATTGAATTGCAAGGAGGAATTGGAATAAGAGGGTTTGAAATATGGATAAGGATGGTGCATGGCGGATTTTAATTGGGATGTAATTTCAAAAGGTGGTGGAGCGGACAATAAAGGAGGGTTGAAATGAGGCCGATTTTTGGAAAGGGGTATAAAGGTCAGAAGGACGAGATCTTGTAGAGAGGGAGTGGATAGATGACTTAAATTGAAGGAGATTGAAAGGACGGGCGATGATTATAGATTATTTGGTAAAGGAATGTAACTAGGAAATACTGTCTTCTGGAGGAGGGAAAAAGCCACCCTAACTCGGCGTAGTAGTGTATATATATATATAGATAGATAGATAGAAAAAAAAACTTTATTCTGGGACTAAGTCCCTTCAGAATAACAATAATGTACAAAATAATAGAATATTACTGGCCTGAACGTTGAAACAATAAATAAAATTGATAAAATAAAATAAAAAGTAAAGAAAACCTTAGGTGCACAAGCTATATACAACAGATAAAACTATGTACAGAGCATTTAAAATTATGAACAAAACAATTAAAACTATGAACGAATCACTTGAACTATGAACAAAATTATATTTAAGGGTTGAACAACATAAACATACACTTCGAGAAATGAAGAACGAAAAAGAGATACAATGAGTTCATTTCATAAAAAAAAAAAAAAAAAAAAAACTTTACTTGAATATATATATAAAAATAAACAGTTACTTATAATTGAATAAAAAAAAATATATAAAAAAAAATGTATGTGTTGAAATTCCTACGTCGATAGTAGGAAATGCGTGTACTATCTCTTACCAAGTGTTATGATTATATGATTGCTACACAATACATATATAATATCAATAGTTAGCTGGTATCAGACTGTTTTTGGAACAGGAATTGGAATAGGAGGTTTTTGAATGTATACAGGGAAGGGGCATGTCGAATTTTGATCGGGAGGGAATTCCAAAAGTTGACAGAGCGAGCTATAAAGGAATTTTGGAATGAGGCAGATCTATGAGAAGGGATGTATAGGTCAGAGGGTCGGGATCTTGTAGTGAGTGAATGGATTGAGGACTTAAATTGGAGGAGGTTGTAGGCATAAGAAGGACGATGATCGGTAATGATTTGATAAAGGAAAGTGCCAAGGAAATATTGTCTTCTTAAGGAGGGGAAGAGCCACCCTAACTCAGTGTAGTGGTGGGAGACATGGGAGCGTCTCGGGGTTCCAATTACAAATCTTACAAAGCAATTCATAAGTCTTTTGAGTCTATCACGCAGTTCCACCGAGAGGCCATCGTACACCACACAGCTGTAGTCAAAGTGGGGAAAGATGAGAGAGGAAACTATGAGTCTACGGGTATTTTGGGGTAGAAGATGGCGGAAGTGATGGAATAGTTTGAGGGTAGAAATTGCACGGCGGGATATATGAGAGATATGGTGATTCCAGGAAAGGGTTTGATCTATGAGAAAGCCTAAATTTTTAACAAAGGGATAGAAGGTGATGGGGTGGTTGTGTAGATAGAGTGAGGGAAAGTTGGTGTGGGATCTAAGAAGGGGCTTGGAACCAATGAGAATGGCCTGAGTTTTGGCAGCATTTAGCCTTAATCCATTTAAGTTGGCCCAGGCACTAATTCGATCTAAATCTTCTTGAATTTTGGCAAATGCCACCAATAACTCAGCGGGAGAAAAGGATAAATAGATTTGAGAATCGTCGGCATAAAGGTGGTGGGAACAATGGATAATTGAATCATTTAGGTCATTAATATAAGAACTGAAAAGAAGAGGAAACATGCTTGAACCCTGTGCAACTCCTGAGGATAAAGGAAGGTAGGCAGATAGAGGTTGATTAGGTATGGAAACTGCTTGGGTTCGTTGTGAGAGGAAAGACTGGAACCAAGAGATGGAACTATTGGAGAAGGATAATGATTTTAGTTTGTTGAAAAGGATGGAATGGATAATGGAATCGAAAGCTTTGGAGAAATCAAGCAGTATAAGTATGGTTAGTTTTTTGTCATCTATTGCAGTCTGGATATCACTAGTAATTTTAATCAGAGCAGATTGTGTAGAGTAGCCAGGACGGAAGCCAGATTGGAGAGGATCGAGTTGGTTGGATTGTTCAAGGTAGTTGGAAACTTGGGATTGCACTAACTTTTCTAGGGGTTTAGAAAGATTGGAAAGGATTGATATTGGGCGGAAATCTTCGGGAGAGGATGGATTAGGCTTTTTGTTTAAAGGAAGGACAATGGCTTTTTTCCAAGAGGTCGGGAATATTGAATTCTGCAGGGAGAAATTGTAGATGAAAAGGAGTGCTGGGAGGATTTCAGGGAGCCATAATTTTATTAGTTTGATAGGAATGCCATCTGGGCCTACGGAATTGGAACGGGATTTCAAAGGATAATTAAATATTATGTATATGTCTATTATATTATAGATACTATGTCTGCATCATCTATGCATAGTATTTTAAGTACAAACATTATATTTATGGAAAAACACAATTGAAAGTTTGGAATTTTCAGAGGTGTAAGTTTAATTTTCGAGTTTCAACATATGATTCACACAGGAATATTCATCTCTTTAATAATTCATCTCCTCATAACTTATCCCACTTGGCAAGAAATAAAGCAAATAAAATAAGCTTTCTGGTGATAAACATAAAAATTCACAGAATTGTATTTAAAGCGATTTTCACTGGAGCCACAGGTATAATTATATTTATGTATAATTCAGCCTCTGCTATTATTATAACTGCACCTATGATAAGATATCACCAGATGATAAATTAAAAAATTAATATGTTAGATTAGAATCTAAAATGTATTCTTGTAACCCTTAACTTGATGGATTGTTTTATTGTATTGTTAAAATTATGTAAATATTATAACTCCACTTAAGATTCAGATAAGCTTTTTTAATGACAAGAGCTGAGAGTGTACTAGTAGTAGCCAATTGTTGGGTATTAGTTTATATAAATCATGTTGGCAATGCCAAATAAATTTATTTTAAATATACCTACCTGCCATATGAACATTCATTACCTATTTAACGGCATTGGGTGTTGGCATTAATGAGTAATACATATCTATGTAATAATTATTATTATTATGTATTATATAAACCTATATTATATAAACATAGAGTAATGGTGGGGAATGCCTCCTCAATAATAGTGTCTCAACGTGACACTGATTGGTCAGGAACATCTTTAGGCAAAATAAGTCTTCCTTATAATAATAACTAATAAAGTTACTATTTTGAATTCCTAATATCATAGTTAAAAATTGATCACCTTTTGCTCTTTCTACATCTGGAACTACTACTTTCACTGTATTACCGACTTAACCAGAATGAAATTTAGGATTTGAAGTTTTAAATATTTTTTCCCCTATGACCCTATTGCCTAAAACCCACAGCAGTTGTAAGCTTGTGAACATATGAAAAATATGAATCATACATAAATTTATTTATTTTTTTATTTATAGGATACATTTTTCTATCAAGATAAATTTGTTATCTACAATGGTAATGAGCAAATATGATGTTAAATGGTATATATGATATCAAGAAGAACAGAACAAAACGAAAAAAACAAGCAAGAGAGAATTTGAACAATAGAAATAAGTAAAATATTAAATACTTGTAAATTACAAAACTAAACTAAAGAAAAAAAATCTGGTGCGCGCAACACACAAATTTCACTTACTGCTCAACTTTAAATTGAAATTATTTTCTGGCCATGTTGGGCTATTATAAAATTTTTGAATTGCATTCGTAACTGAGCTAAACCTAAAAGATTACTGCTAACAAATCATAAATACTATTAAAATGAGAAAAGTTCTATTTATTATATCACCAGTTGATTATGGATTGTAGGACTATTAGTTGTTAAACTGTTATTTTCCATCGCAAAGTTAACAAAAATGGAATTAAGATATTTGCCACTGTCTGTCATTAACAGGTCAAAAGTTGTCACACTAATTGTAAGTGGATTGTTGGAATTGTAAGTCCTGTTGGAACATCGCAAAAAGAAAATTTATCAAATTAATTTATCAACACTAATTTAATTTTCTAAAAGGTTACACAAAGATTTTTCGTAATAAACGTACGATAGATAAATAGTTATTTAAATATCATATCAGATGTAGAGTTATTAAACTACAGTAAATATAGTTAAGGTTACAAAAGTATCCATGAAATATTTGTATAGTTCACTTCTTCTTTCACACAAGTACAATGAAATAGTACCTTAAACAATGACATTGCTTTGAATCCGTGGGTTTCAACTACTTTTTCAAACTTTTTTTTTTTTAATAATTTCCTTGAAAACACCTGATTTAAGTTAAATAATGTTAGTTTTTAGAAATTATTATTTATATTTTTTTCGTCACTCTCTGTTACTTTCTACAATTTTCTATATTATATATTGGTTTTTTTAATTCTCCTCTTTCCAACGATATGTTATACCTATACCTTCTGACTAATATTGCCGGAGATTCATTTTCGACCTGGATAAGCATTTTTATTTTTTTCTCCTTTATTCAATTATCAAATTCTTTCAAAAGTTATATTTAGCATTTTTTTCGTAACTTTTAATTATGAGGGATAGTTGATTATTTAAAATAAACCATATTAAAGGTACTTTAGAGGAAGTCGCATATGAAGATTGGGCATTAAACCCTGTAAAGTGACATCAACGGGGATAGGACCTAATTGATAAATAAGACCTAAATAGCCCATCATGGACAGAAAATAATTTTTATTCAAAGACGAGCGGTAAGTGAAAGTTGTGTGTTGCGCGCACCAGATTTTTGTTATATGTAGTGTGTCCATGTCAGTCGTTTGTCCAAGTAGAGACCTAAATGACACACTGTATTTGAATTCGGTATCGCGATGTTGTTAAAATTACTTCAGTTTAGGAACAATATACACACGTGAAGGAGAAGAAACAACAGTTTTAAAATTTATATTTTTAAATCATTTAAAATTTTTATAATTTAAAATTATTCTCGTTGTTCAACTTGCAGAACTGGAGGGTTTGCCAATTCTCTCATGATGAAAGTTTCAAATTGGATATCTTCGAATCTGAAATCTTTTTGAACTGGTCGAAGTTTCAATCGTCTTATTATTTTAGACAGTGCTACTTTCATTAGTGTTGTTGTGTAATGCATTCCTGAAAAATTAGAAGATTATTAATTCAAAAAATAATTAGTCATTGATACATATCTAAATGGTATTCCGTAAGTAGAGAGAAATGTTTTTAGGAGAGATGGCAGGCCTCTTGAGCTGTAAAAAAAGTTCATATAAAAAATTGACCAATTTCCGGCAAAATGATAGGAAATTTAAGTTTTGTGTTTTTTTTAAGTCATGGTGTTAGATGAATAGGAAGCGATAACAAAAAAATTATTTGATATAATTAATTAGAAATTGTTTAAACGATAACTAGACAAAATTTACTTTAAATGAAAATAGAGTTTGTTATTTATAAAAATTTAAAGAGGACCATTTAACGTTATCGTCTAAACTAAGTATGTTCTAAACTCAAGCTAAGTTTTGTTTTTAAAAATATAAATTATTCGCGATTTTTTCCTAATAATCAATCAACTATACTACTGTTACTCCACGTTTAGAAAAACTTCCACGTTTTATAAGCTTTAAGTCTATATTAATTAAGTTGCGGTTTATTAAGGGAAAACTTGAGATTTGCCTCAAATTGTGTAAAAAAGTGATGTCATTTTTTATACTATTACCTAAAAGTACTACATTAAAAATTTCAGTACTCACTGGACGTAAAATTTGATGCTATGCAACTTTGATTCTATGAGTTTTTCCTCTTATGGAACTCATTTCCAAGTTACAGGGCCATTTATTGTAATTTGTCTCAGTTTCTGACAAATTTGGTAAAGCTCAGCGTTGGTTGACCGTGGTTTTATACCTCACCACGTAACCAAATTTTAAATTTTATGTACTCGTTTGACGCAAAATTTAACGTTCCTTAATTTATTAGAGAATACATTTTTCGCTTTGATGCATTGTTTAGGAGTTATAGGTGAAAAACCAAAAAAAATATCAAAAAAATCTGACTTTTTTTGGCTGTAAATGTTTTCCCTTGGTTAGCCGCGTTAGCAATTTTGTTTTTTAAATGCCTAAACCCATATATAAAAATTAAAAAAATAAAAACTTTTCTCAAATTTTTCGCTATGTATTTCTCGTTTCGATCCTCAAATTGTTGGCCTAATATTTTTTAAATCAGCCACCATATTTGAAAGCAGCTGCTCTGGAACGGCAGACAAGGTTTTTTTTACTCAGAATAACATACACTTTCGTAATTCACAATCAAACCTTCGCCTGCGATCAGGTCGATTTTTGGGCCCTGGCTCCAGAGACTATATATAGGTACCAATTCTTCCCGTACTAAATATCCTAGTATATAATATTTTAAAATGAGAAGGTTATGCTTGAATTTAGTGGGGTTTTTTATTTCGCAAGGGCAGGAATACATACGTTGGTGTAATTTTTATTTTGTTTAATTGATACATGAGGTGGATAAATTAATTATTACATGTTACACGACCATTATTTACATGAAAAAAAATTTAAAGGACAAAGGGAATTAGAAAATGCATTTTTGGAGTTCATCAGTTCTAAAGATGGGAAATTCTTTTCCGAAGAAATGGAAAAGTTGCCAACACGTTGGGAATGTATTAATAGTAGTGAAGACTATTTTGATTAAATGACAGCAGTAAATTCTTCTTTTTTCTTTTTAAAATAAAATCCTACATTATCTCCCTAATTCAATAAATCTTTATTACAGATCTTTTTGTCGATTTCAAAATTATGTCTTTCTGATGATCATTAAAATGGTTTATTATTTATTAAATCATTGAAAAGATGGATATCATTCAATATAATGGTGGATACCATTAAATAAGTTGCAATATTTACCTGGGCAGTTTCGTACACCAATTCCAAATGGTGTATAGGAATGTTTTAACGTCTCACTTTCTTCAAGAAAGCGATCTGGATCAAAAACTTTTGGGTTTTTCCAGTATTTTGGGTCCATTCTCATGTATCCAGTTAGGTACACTAAATTTGAACCTTTACTTAATCAACTATGTCTAGCTGCTCTTATTATATTATTTCTTATAGAAATATCAGCCTTAACAAGTGATAATATCAGTCAAGCAAGAACTCACTCTCCCAGGCCGAAGTGCTACAATATTAACACCACATGACACAATCCTTCCCCTCATAAAGAAAATAGTTCTTAGCTGTCAATCCATGTGGGACGAGAGCCCACCGAGAAAAATAAAGAAAATCAAACAATCTGTAGAACCAGGAAGAGAGGAAGTTGCCTTGGCTAGACTAAGGATAGGAAACACAAACCTTATACATTCTGATCTCATAACAGCCTGCTCCAAAATGCCAACACAGCAACAGTATTCTCACAGTCAACCACATTCTCCAAGATTGCCCTTATCAAATATATCAATTCTAACCAAATTAGGACTCATGCAAAACCATCAGTTGTTTTAAACAATGACTAAGTTAAAATGGAGTCGGTGATAAATTTTCTTAAAGCTAATGATTTACTATATAAATTTAAAATTTTATAATAATTTGTTATTGAAATAATTTAAATGAAGATTAGATTAATTAGGAAGATTAGGCGTTGAATACATCAGATTTTTACGGCTCTAAGCCTTAAATAAGAAGAATTATAAGGTGCCAGGCATAGACGGAATCCAGGCTGAACTTTCCAAAAATTATGGAGATGAATTTGGGATGAACTCCACAAAGTTATTTATGATGTATGGATGGAAGAAGAGGTCCCAGATGAGTGGAAAGTGTCGGTCTTATGTTCAATCTATAAGAAGGGAGACTAGCTAGAGTGCAGAAACTATCGAAGCATAGCACTGCTTGGCATAGCTTATAAAATACTATCCTCTGCTATTGGTAGGAGACTGATATCACACATGCAGAAGGAAGTAGGCGAATATCAGTGGGCCTTCAGGAAGGGTAGATCGACTATTGACCAGATCTTTACCGCACGACAGGTGTTAGAGAATTCACTGGAATACAACGTCGACCTGCATCACCTCTACATTGATTTTCAGCAGGCATATGACTCAGTGGATAGGAAGGTTTCGATGAGAGATCATCTCTCTCTTGGTGTGTCTACGAAACTCACTCGGTTAGTAAAAATGACTATGGCATATACCATATGCAGAGTGGAACTTAAGGATTGCTGTCTGAGGAGTTCTCTGTGGTTTCGGGACAACGGGAAACGTTGGGTTCTCAACCTCGTGGTGTAGCAGTGCTATCCTCAACCACGAGGTTGAGAACCCAACGGGAAATCCATTGCGAAACATGAGAGAAACGTTTTCATTTTTTTAACTTGTATATATCAGTTTATACATGCAAAAAAACAAAATTTCTAACTCAGGCTATCTAGGGAAAACTTTTTACAGCCGAAAAAGTCAGAATTATTCGATATTTGTTTGTTTTTTCACCTATAACTCCTAAATGATGCATCAAAGAGAAAAATGTACTTTTTAATAAATTAAAGAACGTTAAATTTTGCGTCGAACGAGTACATAAACTTTATAGTTTGGTTACCTTTTAAGGTATAAAACTACAGTCAACCAACTCTGATTTTGTCAAAAACTTGTCAAAAACTGACACAACTTACTATAAATGGATCTATAATTTGGAAATGAGTTCCCTAAGAGGAAAAACCCATAGAATCAAAGTTGTAGAGCATCAAATTTTGCGTCTGCTAAGCACTAACATTTTCATTGAAGGTCAATTATATAACTCGAATCGGGATTCGTTATTCTTTTATGAAATTCGGTATCTTTCGACTCATCGTTTATCAAAATCCTCCGCTGCTGAGAGGAGGAAAAGAGGCTTATACAGCATGTAATAGCCTCTAAATAAAAATAAGTAAGTATAATAGACCCTTACTGTTAAAATATTAAAAATCACATTTACCTTCATTTTCAATTTCCAACCTTCGGGAAATTACCGATTTTGTTCAGAGTAAGTTAACTACATTAAATTAGTTGGTACTAAGCAGACGCAAAATTTGATGCTCTACAACTTTGATTCAATGGGTTTTTCTCTTAGGGAACTCATTTCCAAGTTATAGGGCCATTTATAGTAAATTATTTCAGTTTTTGACAAATTTGGTAAAAATCAGCGTTGGTTGACCGTGGTTTTGTGCCTTAAAAGGTAACCAAACTACAATGTTTATGTACTCGTTCGACGAAAAATTTAGCGTTCTTTAATTTATTATCTATTGCCTGAACCCATATATACAAGTTAAAAAAATAAAAACTTTTCCCACATTTTTCGCAATGGATTTCCCGTTTCGATCCTCAAATTACAGACCTAATATTCTTTAAATCAGCCGCCATTTTTTAAAACAGCGGCTCTGGAACGGCAGACAAGGTTCTTTATACTCAGAATAACATACACTTTCGTAATTTACAATCAAACCTTCGCCTGCGATCAGGTCGATTTTTGAGCCCTGGCTCCAGGGCTAATTGGCTGGAGGAAGTTAAAGAGGATTTGGGACAGCTTGGTGTCAGGCGGCGGAGGGCTGTCGCATTGGACCGAGACGAGTGGCGACGTATTGTTAAGGCCAAGGCCCAACGCGGACTATAACGCCGAGGAGTAAGTAAGTAAGTAAGCCTTAAATAACAACAACATAACCATATGGTGGAATGGCATACCATTCTGCAAGTCTGTGATTTATTTTCGAATAAAATATTTTAAAAAACACATAAAATAATGAATTATCTTCTTGGTCATTACTAATACACTCCGTTCTATAGGCGTACGCGAATATTATTAGTTACAATTAGTGAAATAATATAAAATAAACAATACGTTATGAATGAATGAATGAATTTACATAATTTTAACCCCCATGCCAGACTGAAACGACTAGAAACCGCCCGACGTTTTCGACAACTGCAGCACCAACTAGACAAACGATCTAAGCTTTCAATCAATTATAAACGACTCGTATATATGACAATAATAAGACCTATTTGGACTTACGGAATTGAGATTTGGGGCTCCACTAAACCATCGAATTCCTCTCGTATCCAAAATCCTTCGTAAAATCCTCAACGCTCCTTACTTTGTCACAAATAAAATCATCCATAAAGACCTTAATGTTCCATATGTTTCCGATTTGGCCCAATCCAGATACCTGCCTTCCATAACAAACTGCAAAACTATCCAAACCCTCTCGTTTCTAACCTTGCTTCCTCTTCGATCCCTGATAACCCTCCGAGGCGTGTGAAAAGAAGATGGCCTCGGGATCTTCTAATATAGAACTTTAATTTGAGTTCTACCAATGGGTAGTTTCTCTTCATGTTGTACATGTCATGTTACCAATTTTACATTTACTTATTGTATTTTGTATGTAATACAGTTGTAAATTCCATTAAAATAATAATAATAAAAAAAAAAAACATAATTTTAATATGCTATAAATTTATTCTTCAAATCATTTTTACATATTATACTACCGGTGATATCTAAAAGAAAAAAAATTGTAAATTTATAATCATTATAGCGAATAAATGATTATCTAAATTCCAATTTTTCGTTTTGAAATTGGAAGCTTTCTCTAATATCACTAAAAACTTTAATTCCGTGGCAATTAAATAATTAACTAATTAAACCAGAAAAGAGAAGTTTCCAATTTTCTCATCGATAATTATTTGTTATTAAACTAGAAATAACAAAAGACTACATAAAATGCGTTGTCTGGCAACCTGATGAAAGATAATGTGATAAAATAAACAGCCCAATATTTTTGTAGACCACCTTTTTTTTTAAGCAAAATAATTGACTCTAGATCCAGCACTGGGTTTACAATAAAACAATTATTTTTTAGTACGTAAACTCATAATAATGTATTATTTAAATAATTTATATATAAAAATATATTACAAAATACCAATATGATAAAATATTACTTACTTATAGTTGTGTCTCCAGTGACTGACTTGAAATAAAACGGAGGAGCGACAAATCTCAGAGCCTCTTTTATGAACCTTAAATAAAAATAGGAATTATTACACAAAAAAAAAATATTTATAAAAACCTTTGGAGGAAAAGAAATACCATATAACTCAAACATAATTAATTCAATTTTCTAATTTAAACATTACCTATTTTATTCAAATCCTTAGCTTACTTATTAATTAAAATCTGAAAAGTACTTTAAAGTTTTGAAAGTGTGACAATTATTCTACTTAACACCATAATGACAACTAAGTCCCGTAAGTGAAAAAATAAAATTATTCATAAAAGAATGTAAATCAGGTATTTTTTATTTTACGTTCAGTTTTTATTGTATGAGTTAGACAAACATGTAATGCTTTTAATAAAGTTTGTGGTTTGTATTTCTGTGTAAGCGAGAGCAAATTTCGTTCTATGAGAAAGCAAATTCCTTACTATATATTTCATATATATTACTTATGATACTTATAAAGAGAAAGCGGCACGCATCCTTCACCTGAAGGTTCCGACAGAGGAAGACTTCCAGCAATATTCCAGACAATGGATGATTCGCATGGACCGCTGTAGTTATAGAGGAGGGGTGTGTATTTAAGGTGATAATAAGTAAATTGTTACGAAATCAAAATAAAACCTATTAAAGCATCTGTTGCATTATTTGCGATTGTAAGTGAATTCTTTGGGTTTAAATATTTTCTTGGAAAACACAACTAAATTGAAATATCATTTTGAATAAACTCATTCTATGAAAGATATATATATATAAGCATATATAGGGTAAAATGGTTGACATATACCTATCAAGGAATCGCATCTGGCTTAAGTCATCGAAAGTTGCATCTCTTTTATCATTGTCAAATATTTCATATTGTTCCTGCCAAGCTCTTTCTTGAATATCTGGTAAAAGTGCTAAAAATATTAAAGAGCTTGATAATAAAGCGTGAGTAGTACCCGAACTCTGAAAAAAAAATGTATTTGATTGCAGCACATCAGGACTGTAAAAGAGTAAGTGTAAAAATGGTAATGCTTTATTTATTATAGTAATTTTTTCACCTACAGGCACATTATAGGTTATGCGTAAAAAGAAATATATAGGTATAGTAACAGCCATCTTTATAATTTATAAAACTAATGGAATATTTTCCTAAGGAAAAGATGGAAAGAACCAAGTGCTATGAATGTTATTAACTTTATACAGTGTTCTTATATTAGATTAAAACATTTTGAAATTGGAAATGAGTCAATTCCTCTGAAAGAATCGCACTCTAAAGTAAATCACACGAAAAAATTACGGTTACACTCGTATTTGGTCGATTCAATGGGTATTAATAAAATTAAAATTACAAAAGAGAAAAACAAATCTATGCATATCCTCACATATATTATTTCAATAAGGCTCTAGTGAGGAAGTAAAATAAACAAAATAGTAATATAAATAATCATTGGTTATAAATATCTGAAATGCGGAATGCTAGTGGAAGAGCAAATATTCGGAAATCAAAGAAAACAAATCAGCGAACAATGAAATAAGGCTGGAATATTTCCAAGAACTAACACAGTCAACGCGATCGGGTCAAATTTCGGATATGCAGTTTTCGCCGGATCTACACGTTTCAGAGCCCCCTGAGTTGAAGTTACAGGTATTCAATTTCCAATGTAATATTACAGGTTCATATCTTGGTGTCAGAAAGGGGTAAATGAGATAAAAAAGATAACTAAGTGAAAATAAGAAAATCTATTTCCCGCATCAGCAAGTTTTTGGTCAGCAATATTAGAGGGTATTGAAATTTTTACACTGATATACCTTAAGCCGATTTACATTGCTTTAGTTTATCAAACAAATCATTCTGAAATGTTACCTTTTGGGGTTTTAAAATTTTATTCGGGATGCCACTGGATAATTATTGATGATAATTACCCAGAAATGTTTAATAAAAATTAATAATGAAAAATTAGTAAAATAAATTTGGATTTATAATATATTGATTGGTCCAGAATTAATGAATTGGATTTATTTTCTCAAAGGCTGGTTTGTGTTTATCATGCTTTCTTTTTATACACATTACCTCTGATTATAATAATATAAATAACTTTACTAAAAAACTTAATTTACTTCAGTTTTTAATAAATAATATATACAAATTATGTTTGCAAGAATTACAAATTATAGTTACGAAAATCAATGAATTCAACAATTAACTGTGAAGGCATGATTTCAGATGGACTGTTTTGAAAATTTATATTGCCATGAAATATTCTAACATTGTTAAAATTAATTGAGGGGAATAAAACTTATCAATGGTATTTGACGTGGTGTAGTTAGCTTGTTTCATCGCTGCCTCTGCTAAGTTGGGATCATTTCGTCATGGTTCAAAGCTCTGCTAGGATCCTCATGGTCTATGTAGGGCCAAGGCTTCAGTCCCCAAGCCGGAAGAAAACAGAAGACCCATCCTCCAGGCCGGACGTCATCATAAGACCTCTCCTTTGTGTATCTCAGTAGATTTTAAAGAAATATTCAAGGTGGGGCAAGAATGGTTCTCATTGGTTGAATTTTAGTAGCATAAGGGATGACCACGCCTCCAGGCCGTACGGCTGTTTCCTCTTTCTCGAAGGTGTATCTGTTCCCTCCCTAACTTAGACAAGCCTTCCGATCCTCTCCAAATATACCCACGTAAAACCGGTGTTGGTCCTTTGGTGTTTTTGCCAACCTCTTTCCTTAAGTGTTTTATTGCCCCTCACAAAAGGTTGCACTCCCTAGGGGATTAGCAATTATTATTTAGAATATACTTATTCATTTGAAATAATTAAATATATTCCAAATGTGGACCTTACAACAATACATAGCAATACTCAAATCTTTTCTTTTATCAATTTTCAGGAAAATTAAACTAATTCAATTTTTTTTTTTCTTGAACGAAAAAAGTTTTCTGTAATATGTAGGAAAGTCGTGTGAGCGGACATACCAGATTTTTTTACTTCAAATTATATGGGTCTGGATCTGGTTATATGGATACATTTAGCATGTGCATGTGCTCTTTCATCTTATTTCTCTTGTATATTGACTATCTTTTCTAGATGTTTAGATGTGGCATGCCATACTATTGTATATATAATAAGTATCTTTTTTTGTTATTTTTACTGTCTTTATTATCTTAAATATCTTCCTATTTATCTTTAATTGTATATAGTAATTATGTTTAAATTCCCTCTTTTTCCTTGTATTTTATTTCCTTTTATTGTACATAGCATTAATTCTGTAAATATTTCTTTCTGTAAATAGATCTGTTAACCTTTTTGCTGCTTTATAAAAATATCCAACCTAACCCCTTCTCACCTGAGCTAGCATGGTAGGATAAATGATTAATCATGGCCAAATAATGGGTAAGTAACTTATGTTCTCTATATTTATCTCGTTAGAGATGAAAGGTTGGTAAGCCAGGCGCCCAACAAATAAAAATTTCTATGGAAAATTATATTTGTTAAAAATTAATTTATTATATCTTTATTTTATTTTTTTTTTTTTTTGGTCATAATAGCAATACTGAAATCTTTTCTTTTATCAATTTTCAGGAAAATAAACTAATCAATTTTTTTATTTCTTGATGGACATATGTAAAGATATAAAAAGTTTTCTGTAATATATAGGAAAGACGTGTGAGTGGACATACCAGATTTTTTTACTTCAAATTATTGGGGATGGACGAAGCGATATTTTCGCCCCCCTCCCCTCAGCATTATTATTGGAGTAGCAATAGATCCTCTCGTCCTCGTCTTTCCCTCGAAGTGACTGAGGTCTGGCTATCCAATATTTAAGAATAGTTTTGACGATATAAAACACAAACAGTTTAATAAACTGTAAAATTGATACTTATTTTATACTACAGATAACAAGCTGATTTATAAACTACTGATTTATATACGACGACCAATATTCCTTAAGTGCCGACGCCAATGAGCGGATATGTTATTTTCCTAAATATCTAATTCTAATACATACTGTAACAAATAATTCCATCAGCTCGTTGATTAGTTTATCTTCATCTTCGTTGCATTTTCTCATTCTCGAAGTGATCTGCCTTGATAGGAGTGCTTTCTTGTTTGCTGTGGAAAAAATAAATTATTCAAAATACTATAAAAAGGAAAACGATAGAATCATAAAAAAAAAAAAGACAAAAAGAAAAAAAAAAACGAAAATCATGCATTTTTTGTCCCAGGCTAAAAAACCAACTATTTTTAGATAGAGAAGAACAGATCTTCAACCGTACTGATTAGCTGATTTTGACGAAAAAGTTGCTGTAACATCCCAATTATATATATATAATATTTATTTGCGATATTACAGCAATTTTTTCGTGAAAATCAGCTAATCAGAAGGGTTGATATATATATATAATATCTCAGTATATTTATAACATGTTTTTTTTTTTTTGGTCCTTCCCTTCCTCTCCGTTAAGGCTATACGGGATATTCCCGGGCCAGGGGGTGTGAAAATAAATTATTCAAAATACTATAAAAAGGAAAACGATAGAATCATAAAAAAAAAAAGACAAAAAGAAAAAAAAAACGAAAATCATGCATTTTTTGTCCCAGGCTAAAAAACCAACTATTTTTAGATAGAGAAGAACAGATCTTCAACCGTACTGATTAGCTGATTTTGACGAAAAAGTTGCTGTAACATCCCAAGTATATATATATAATATTTATTTGCGATATTACAGCAATTTTTTCGTGAAAATCAGCTAATCAGAAGGGTTGATATATATATAATATCTCAGTATATTTATAACATGTTTTTTTTTTTTGGTCCTTTCCTTCCTCGCCGTTAAGGCTATACGGGATATTCCCGGGCCAGGGAGTGTGGGCGGGGATTTTAAAGACCCCCGGCACCGGGACACGAACTCGTGACTATTTTTATATCTTTGATTCATATGCCAGGTTGCCGGGCAACGGCGGTGCAGTGCACACGCTTTAGCCCATTCGGCCACCCCGCCCACACAATATTTATAACATGTGTTTATTTTGAATTGAAACAAATAATAATGTGTTTATTTTGAATTGAAAGAAATAATATTAAATCTTAGAAGTCTTATCTATCTCCCACCGGTCCTTAACTTATATTTATATATGTATATATATATATATATATATATATATATATATATATATATATATATATATATATATATATATATATATATGTATATATATATGTGTGTGTGTGTGTGTTGTAAACTTAAATTGTGCACAATTCTATTTAGATAATTAAGTACATCGATTAAGTTAAATAATTGACAATTTCCTTCACAATGAGATCACATCTGCTTATTGCCAATACTATGACAGGTATGAATAGAAGTATGAAGAGAGAAAAAAAAAAGTTAAATAAGTAATTAAAACAGATGAACATATATTTTTTCATGCTATAACGATTATTAAATAAAACATCATTAGCAGGGACATTAGAAGAATTCGAAACTGCAACTAAAGAACTAGGGCTACAAATAAATAAACAGAAGACTGCTTACATGCAAACGTCAAAAAATCTAAGTGAAACAGTAGAATGCGTCACAATTGGTAACGGCACCATAAAAGTGGTCGAAAATTTTAATTATTTGGGAGTACCAATCACAGAAAACAATGAAATGGTGGAAGAATTAATGGCAAGGATGACTACCGGTTGAATAGGTGCTGTTTTGCATTGCGAAAAATATTAAATTACAGATCTCTTTCTTACAGAACAAAGATTACGGTGTATGAGAAAGTCATCAGACCCCTCGTCACCTATGTCTCTAAGACTTGGATGATCTCTTAAGTATCGGAAAAAAGGCTTCTCGCATGGAAGAGCAGGGTTCCCCGCAGGACCTATGGCCCGGTGTGCGAACAGGGACAATGGAGAATTCGCACTAATAAAGAACTATATGAAATGTATGCGAGGCCGGATTTGATCTCAATTGTGAGGGTTATCCAGATGAGATGGTTGGACCATGTGACGAGGATCATAAGAGAGGTCCAGGTTCTTACAGAAGTGACGTTGGCGTACCATCAAGGTAAAGCCAATCACCGTGGGGTGAACACACTACAGGCACTACACAGGAGATACTTCTGGAAGATAATGAAAAAGACTATTGCCGAAATCATAGGAGCATGTGAAGTTTGCGCACGCACAAAATATGTTAGACGTCCTCCACAAGGAAAACAGGAGGAAACACCCACCGGAGACATACCACTGAATGACGTACCTATCGAAACTTCTAATGGAGAGGATTTAAATGGTTAACGATAATCGAACTCTTCAGTAAAATTTCAATGGTACACCGAGTGCAGGACAGATCTTCGGATGATGTCGTGAGGGCTCTTTAAACTTGGGCTCAGTTTTATAGAGTGCCAGATAACTTAACATCGGAAGGACGGAGAGAGTTCGACAGTGCTACCATAAGGGAAGAAGCAAAAATGCTAGACATATGGTGGAATTTCAATACACCGGGGCTTCCTAGAAGCAGAGGGGTATTAAGAGCTTAAACAGCACCCTAAGTGGTCATCTGCCTGTCTATGAAGGAGAACAAGTGTTACAAGCAGATGTAGATATGAGGAAGCCAGTGGTAGCCTACAACCATTCGATACCTTCGATCACAGGGTTCTCACCGGTTGAAGTGTTGTTTGAAATAAATATACGTAGACGAGACTGGGAGTTTAAGTCTTTTAAGTCTAGTATGAGAGTTCAACGTCCGTCGTCTGTCTAAGAGAAAGCCAAGGTACCGGACTGTGTCTGAGACAGGAAGCTGGATGGATTTAAAGTGTACTGGTGGACAGGAACTGCTTCGGAGCGTGAAGGTGATGTGTTGGCATTTGGATTCATTTACTTTAATACGCCATTTATAACACCAGTGTCTTTGAAGGATGCTATTTCAGGATCTGAATCGGATGGTAGAATGGCAGTGTCATCAGCAAAAGTTGCCCAGGTAGGTATCGGGTTGGACAGGGATATCGGCGGTAAAGAGGATGTAAAGGACGGGATACGCTACGAGGACCCAATACGCTACCTTGAGGAACACCAGCCTCAATTAGATAGCAATTTGAAAATTCAGTGCCGCAGCGAACTCGGAAGATACGATCTGAGAAGTAGGAACGGAGGACATGATATAAGGACTGAGGAAGATGGGTTTTAAGGTTGAAAAGAAGCCCGGCGTGCCATACCCGGTCAAAATGTCATCCGTACTATGATAAGGCTCATACATGCTATGATAACGCCTATTTGGACTTACGGCTTTGGGGCTTCACTAAACCATTGAGTTCCTTTCGTATCCAATCCTTACAATCCAAAATAGTTTGTTAAATCCTCAATGCTTACTTTTTCATTAATAAAATCATACATAACGACTTTAATGTTCCATATGTCTCCGATTTGGCCCAATCCTTCCATAATAAACTTCAGAACCAACCGAACCCTCTCGTTTCTAACACTGCTTCCTCTTCTATCGCTGATACCAGGAGATTGTTTCTCAACAAGCGTTGTCATATCATTATATTCATGTATACATATTTACAAGATGTATTTATATTTTAATAAAATTATAAATATCATAAATAAATAAAGTTAAAAAAAATGTTCTTACCGGCAACTGGACTCGAGGTCAAAATCTTGGAATATATATCTTCCAAAATCTAAAGCAAAATATTGCGTTATGTAATACAGTGTGTAATATTCCTCAATTTTATTTTTTAATTAATATAATATTCAATCAGTAATATATAATGATGCATTGTTGATTAAAAATAAATGAAATAAAGAAAAAATATATTTATACCAATCTTCGCGTTTTCTCTATTGTTCTTAAGAAGAAAGATTCCATTTTCTTAAAAATTCCAAAAATTGTTCCTGCTAATTTTGGATTTGCCACTGAGAGTGTTCCCAAGACTGGGATTCTGAAATAATTTTCCATTAGTAATTTCCTGCGTACCATTGTACAAATCTCATTCCACTTTGACGACGGGACCAAGATACCACGATTACACTATGAATGGGGTTCATAAAATAAATCAGGATTGAAAATGTGTTCACAGTGTAACCTGCCCTTATTTAGATCGCGATTTCCGACCTCGGCAAACTCCCTGTTGGACCTTTTCATTTAAAGGATCAAGGTCATTAGATTTTGTGCCGCTCGTCAAAGTGGAGTGACATTTTTATTCAGTAGCACCTTTTCTTGAATCAACATCGACTTAAGAATGAATAACACATCAAGAATGGCGACCACTGAAGATCGATTTTAAGACATATCAAGCTCAAATCCCTCACAGGAAGAAATACGAGCTAATGGGGAAAAAAAAGTTTATGGACTTGGAGATGATTCAATGGCACACTCCTATAGGCCGTTTTCAAAACCATACGGAATTAACAAATAAAACGATTCTAAGCATGAGTTATCTAACTACAATATCTAAATCTATATTATATAAACATTCAATGAGTAACTTTTGACTTGACTGAACAGTCAATTGATCGACAGTGGCCAACATTACTGAATTATATTCATCCAAATGACACGTATTCAGAATTATTAAATGTAATCAAGTAGTTTTAATTTATTCTTTATTATAAATACATTTTATAACTTACACAGACATAAAACCGATGACTTGAGGATTATATACTATACTGCTATCAACACCAAACAGTGTTTCTGAAACAGAAGCAGAGAATACATGAACTTTACTGGAAAATATAATACATTATTCACAATTCAAAAATAAAATGAACAATAATTTTAAGATAACATGCCATTATCAAGATTGAAGAAAACACGGCGGTTCCTGAAAGCTTAATTTAGTAGTTTTAGGCATCACAGTATGCAAAAAAAGGCTTACCTAAATAGTTTTAGCCATTAATGTATGAAAAAATATTACCATTTTTATATTTGGAATGAAGTTCATTAATATTTGTTATTATGTAAGTCATTTAAAAGTTTGAAGTCCGGGAACTCAGTGCTATGAGCAGACCTATGAATTTCACTTAAAACAGTTCTGTTATTTAACATTAAAATTATTAAAATTAATGCTAGAGTAGTAGGCAAGAGACCACGGGGAGGCCAAAAACCAGACGGATAGATAGGATTAACAAATCTCCAGGCTGATCTTTATGCCGCAAACTGGTAAGCAGTAGCTCAAGATAGGCAGCGGTGGAGAAAGCTCGAACTCGAAAATGCTGTTAGAGAGGTAGAAGCGAATTAGATACAAGGTTTGCGGTAGATGGGTTTTCAGCTAAGAAAGAAGCTCGGTGTACCATATTCGGTTGAAAGCTTGAGCTATGTCCAGAAATGCACCAGGGCAATATTGCTTGCTCGTTCGGAGTCCTTTTTGGACTGTGGAGTGTTGTGAACGAGATCTTAAGGAAAGGAAGATTTTTAGATTCTATAAGGGGATCTTTTAAAAGATTTTTGAGAGGATTAGAAGTAGGCTAATTGGTCTGTAGGAAGCCGAGGTGTTGGGAGATTCGTCTGGTTTAGGAAATAGAATAATATTGGAATGTTTCCACAAATGAGGAAAGTGGGTAGTTAGTAGAATGGTATTGTACGTGATTAATATTTAACAGCTTTAGGAGGAAGTTGTTGGAGGATTTAAGAGGTAAGAAGGTCGTATCCAGGAGATTTGGGAGGACGAAGTTTTTGTAAGTGATGTTTGACCTCACAAGGATTTACTGCTAAGGAATAAAGCTTACTAAGTAAGGAGACTGGAATGGGTGATGTATGGAATTCTTTTACTGTTGTGGTATGGGTGGGGTTGGATTCCGGATGAGAGCCGATCAGTTAAATGAAATGGTCGGTATCTCCTAATCTAAAAGGTGAAAATGATTCTGAATGGAGTATGGCTCCCACCATGTCTCAACATTGTTTAGGCTTATATACAAAAATATAGAGACTTCTTTGAGCCAAACGATTATTTCAAACAGTTTTTCACTGAGGATCATTTTATTAATTACATATTTAAAATTTATAAGAAGAAGGCAGTGAATCAGCTGATGCGAAGGTTGTGTTCTCAACTCCTCTCTCAGTTTATGCCTATTTTTCAGCGGAATCTCTCTGATTATTCACGTAATACAGTATAAGTGTACATCAGAGCAGTTGATATTTACTGTTGACATCGTTTTTTTTTTTTTTTTTTTTTTTGTTTTTTTTTTTCTTTTTCTCTTATGATATGCAGTATGATCAGCAAGTAAGTCCGTAAGGGATCCAAGAGGACTCGGTCAGACGGCGTTAGTACACCTCGTGGTTCACCACACAAAGAACTCGTCGCCTACGAGAAATACCTCCATTGACCAAAGTGAACACTTCAGAACCAGAACCTGAGCCCCAACCTGGTAGTTCTTCGCAAGAAATTATCGAAGGATCATCTTTGTTTACTCCAAACCCCTACCAAGTGCTTCGAAATGACCGAGAAGTAATGGAGTCTGCAGAAATACCCAGAGAACCAAAGCCTCTTCCGATATGGCTTTAGTACCAGTGATGCGGTTGAGAGAGTAGCGCAGGGTTCTCCTTGAGTTCCCTCGCCTGATTGTATATAGGTATGCATGTGTTTTTTTGTTTAGATTTAATTTTCTTATTTTTAGGTTATTTTATTTTATTATTTATTGTATATACCTTTGATTATTATTTTGCTTCTATTTATTTTATATTTTTTGTACATATAGTGTGATTGTCATCCTTCCTCACTATAACCAATGTCCAAGAGAACAAAAAAAATTGTATACAATAAATAATTTGTTTATCAACATTAAACAATAATTTGCAACCATTCCTCCATATAAAAAGTTCTTTTCTGAATGTAATTTGCCAAACTGACTTCTATACTTATGTTGCTATGGTTATTGTCTTTATTTTGATTGGTTTAGCAAAATGTATCATAAATGATTAATAAATAGTTCTATAAGAAATATAGACCAGAAGATCGAAAAAAAGGCCAACAAATTCTAACGCAGGTTACAATAGCGATGCCTTTTCCGGATTAAAAGTTGTATATAAGTTTTTTTATGGATATAGCGAAATAAAGATAGAGATAGAGGAATAAAGAAATTACAATATTCACATTTCAAATGCATATTACTAATTGAAATTTTTTTTTGTGATGACTGTAATAAACCACATTTTATACATAAAATATTAACATACCCATGGTAGAGTTATGTGTAAACTCTAATGTTACTGCACGTAAAATATCAGCCGAAGGTGAGGCCAACATCAACTCAATCATCTGATCGGCGTATTTGCTGAAAGTATTGCTGTGTTCACTTTCCACTCTCGATTTCTTCAAAAATGTATCGTATTCCTTTCTTTGTATCTTCCATAAATCATCCGAGCCTGTAATAGAAATGAGCTGAATTAAGTACATGAAAAAATTGGGAGAGGGGGAAAACTAGTCCAGCAAGTGGGTTAAGTTGTCCTTTTGCCAAACGCTGTGAACTACGTCGAGGTTGCCATCGCGCACTTACCAGAGTGGGAAAGTCAAGATTCATTTCCCGGAGCCGCCAAGTATAATAATTAACTCATGTGGGAAACTGCAAACCGACACTTACAGCTTCATGGGAAAAATGATCTGCAAGGATGGAAGAATAGACCAGGAGTTGATGAATTGAGTCCAAAAGGCCAATGGAATATACCATCAAATATACAGAACACTCATTGGAAAGCAGGAGTTGAACAGAAAAGCGAAGATTCTGATATTTAAATCAGTTTTTCTACCAGTACTACTATATGGATCATAAAGCTGGACACTCTTGGACCGTCATGCCAGCAAGGTTGTACCTGCAGAAATGAGATTCCTACGGAAAATATTAGGAAAAGCCAGGCGAGATCGAATAAGGAATGAAAGGGTGCGAGATGAACTAGGTGTTAGATCCGTCTTAGAGACGATTGAAGAAAGGCAGTTGAAGTGACACGGGTCTGCTAACAGAATGGGAGATGACCGTGAGGCCAGGTGGCTTCTAGAAGCAAGACCGGGAGGAAGGCGACCTCGAGGCAGGCCAAGGCTTATGTATGCAGACCTGATTGAGAGAATTGGCGCAGCGAGGGGAAGCACCATGCCGGAGATGAGATGGCTTACACAGGACATGGACCGTTGGACAAGAAGATTAGAGGCAGCTACTTCACGCTTAGCAGCATACAGGAGATAGTGAGAGAAGAAGAAGGGAAACGGTGGGAATCCCCAAGGTTCAGTACCGGACAACCTGATTCCCATGCCAAAGTGTACTCGGCCATCTCGTCTCCTATGTACAATGTTACTTATTGTACTTACATACTTACAATGTTACTTTTATGTACAATGTTAAACGACAGCTATAAAGACTGTGTAGATACATAACTAAACAATAAATAATAATAATAAATAAACAATAAAAACGTATCAGTATGGACAACTAGAGGTATACCAAAAAAAAAAAAAAAAATACCTCTCCGATGTATAGACAACACCTGGGCAATAACGAGCGAAGAAAAATCCAATGGATTCGCGATATCTAGTAAAGGTATTTGGGACAAACACAATACCTCAATCGTGAAATATATCACAATATCACAGAAATAAATCGTGAAATATTTTATTTTGAAACTTACGGGAGGAAACAAAAGGTCCACTGAAGTACGAATGAAATGCTGAGAATATGAAATTTGGTTTGTGAGTCACATTTGGATGAAATCCTATTTCCTGAAAGAAAAAAAAAAAAATGTAAGTAGATAAAAAAAAGTGTTCAATGAAAACAACAGACAAATACTATTAGGACCCATACAGTGGTGTGAAAAAGTCAAATATTATATCTTAAATTGTAAACGTATTTATCTTTGCAGATATTATATATGTAATATATATTTAAATTATCGTTATTTTCAATTATCAGCAAGCTAAAATACCAATCCGTTGTGTGTCATACTTTCATCTTCTCAATAATGCTACAATCAATTACGAACAATTTCTCGAAAATTGACAACTCGGCTTCTTCAATGTCCGATTCAAATCTTCCGCAAATCATCCTCCATAACACAGGCGGATCTACGGGGAGGGGACTTTCGTGCTGAAGTCCCCCTCCAACCAAAATGGTAAAATATAACCACGTTTAAAGAAAAAAATCTGGTGCGCGCAACACACTACTTTCACTTACTGCTCAACTTTAAATTGAAATTATTTTCTGGTCATGTTAGGCTATTATAAAATTTTTTAGTTGCATTTTTAACTGAGCTTAATCTAAAAAATTACAGCTAACAAATCATAAATACCATTAAAATAACAAAAGTCATATTTATTATTGTACGATTATAGATTGTATAACTATTACTTATTAAACTGTTATTTTCTATTGCAAAGTTTACAAAAACGGATTTAAGGGATTTTTCGGGACAAACGGACGATAGATACCTAGATGTTTAAATATATCAGATCTACAGTTATTGAACTACAGTAAATATATTTAAGGTTATAAACGTATCTATGAAATATGTTTATATATCCCTTCTTCTTTCACACACGTGCAATGAGTTGAGGATACAATTGCAATATCACAAAAGGAAGATTCATCAAATTATTCACTAGATAATAATATTTCGGAATAAACGGACGTGGGTACCTAATTATTTAAATATAATATCAGATTTAGAATTATTAAACTGCACTAAATGTGTTTAAGGTTATAAACATATGCTTTATACATCCATGAAATGATTTTGTATTTTACTCCTTCTTTCACACAAGTATAACGAAATAGTTTTTTTAACCATGTAATTGCCTTGATTAGGTGGATTTTAAGTACTTTTGCCATTGTCATCATTTTTATCATTTTCATTGTACACCAATCCCTCTCCCATCACCTCCTCCCATTACCTACACAAGATTTCCTATAATCCACCTTTATCATAATAAAAACCTTCTCCTTTCCAGTTACTCTCGTGTCAGCGTATTGCCCTCCTAACCGATCCATATCCAATGACCGGTTTTCAGTTCCCTCCTCGACTGCTTACGACATCAGTTCATCTTGAGTGCAGACTTAAATACCAAGCACCAACAATGGGATTCAAGAACCAAAATTCTCGTAGTCAAACCTTGCTGTCTGCACTCAATTCCCAACGTTTTCACCTTCTTTCTTCCTCTCTCCTACCTATTAGCTAGTGTTGCCCAAAATCGGTCTTGGTCTTGCACTTTGCAAGACCAAGACTAAGACGGCCTCACTGTTGTAAGACCAAGACCAAGGCTGGTAAAAAAAATCGATTTTTTGAATAAAATTTAAGGCAAAATAGTTACTAATGAATGACAATTTTAGTTACTATACGTGAAGAATTGGTATTGCTATGTTCCTGGCCTCGCGTTTCTACGGCGAGTAAGGGGTTCCAGGAATCGCATTTATTTGTATTTAATAGTTATATTTGTATTCATATCGGTTCCAGAAGGGAACCGATCTACAGAAAAATATATCAATTAGGTATTTAAAGGTAAGATACCACAGACCCCCTACTATAGTATCCTAGATTGAACCATATACTATTTATTGGATTTCTTTTCTAAAGGTATCATGTTTTTAAATTTACTATTTGTTGTATATCTAATTGGTGGCATGCAAGGTAAATGGTAAAAGTACTACGTTGGTTTACTAACTATTATATTTACAAGCTTAAATAAAACCAAAAACATCTATATACAAAATAATAACTAAACCTATATACATAATGAATAGTTGAGAATCATACTGGAGGAGAATGCTTGATGTTTGATTAAAGTTACATGTGTTATATTGATTATATTAATTAATGATGTATGGTTGCCAACACAAATTTACATTAGTATAACTAAATGCTTGTTACCACTTAGCTGGTCCTTCATAGTGTTTCTAGGTGTTTCTAGCCGTCATATCTTTTTTTTTTTTTTTTTTTTTTTTTTTTTTTTTTTTTTTTTTTTTTTTTTTTTTTTTTTTTTTTTTTTTTTTTTTTTTTTGTTCTTCCCTACCTCGCCTTTTAGGCTATACGGGATTTTCCCGGGCCGGGGGGTGAGGGCGGGGAATTTAAAATCCCCTCCGGCACCGGGACGCGAACTCGTACTTTTTATATCATCTCAAATCTCTGTTATCCGGTTGCCAGGCAACTAGCGGTGCTGTTACACACGCTTTAGCCTATTCGGCCACCCCGCCCCCTAGCCGTCATATCTGGATTCCCTGTCTCTGCTCTCCTTCAGCGTCTAGTCCGTCCATCTGCTCTCTCCAGCTGTCTTCCTCTTCCTCCCTCGACTCCCCCGCTTGAAGTCTCCTTGGCTGAGTCCCAAAGAGAAGTCCCCTCCTCTGAGTCCCAAAAGGAAGTCTCCTCCTCTGAGTTCCAAAAGCAAGTCTTCAGTCCCAATTCTCTATTTCCCACCTTTCTTCATCCCCCTCTCTTTTGGTAGTCTTTTTCCTGATTGGCTGAATATTCTCAGCCTAAGGGATGACCACGCCCTCTCCCCCAGGCCAAGGTAAAGCAGCAGATACAGATTTCCATATTTCTGGTGGAAGGTGTGAAAAGGTCTTTCGGGATTCTGTTTAAACACTCAGTTATCGGTCTTGGTCGGTGGTTCTTAAAGGTTTTTATTACCACTTACAAAAGGTTGGGCTTGTGGGTCGTTACCCTCGGTCAGGTAGCGCCAGATGTGGCCACTTATGATATTTATTTATTTATACCTTTAAAATAATTAAATGAATACCACCGGCGTTCTTTACAATACATAGCAGTATAATGCATATACTTTTGCATTTAACTCTTTTAATTTTTCATTCGGGCTTAGTTAGGGTATCTGCTATCTAAAAAAATAAAGTAATATCTCTATAGTACTAAGCTAATAGGTAACTGCAAGACCGTTGCAAGATTCTTGCGCAAGACCAAGACCTAGACCAAAATTGAGTTTGCAAGATCAAGATTCGTCTAGGTCTCTTGGGCAACACCACTATTAGCCCGCAGATCCTAACCGAAATCCTGATACCCTTACTTTCTTTATCCACAGCTCTCAATTGTTCTATTGCACATCTAAATGAACTTTCCTCCGACCATATTCCTCTAATTCTCAATGTTTCACTTGAACCCGTTCCAAAACCTTCCCACCATAATTTATCAGGGGGCCAGTTAACTGGGACCTTTTCCGCCAAATCCTCACTGATAAAATTGATCTCAATATATCCCTAAATACTCCCAGCCACGTAGATAGTGCCCTCAATTCCTTTACTACCACAATCCAGCAAGCTGCCAGGACTGCATCCTCCCCAAAAGACTCTCCATGAATTCCTAAGAAAACCATTTTACCAAAACACCTCCTTGACGTAATCCACATCAAATGCAGTACCAGATTGTTATGGCAACGTACGAGACATCCCACCGACCGCAGTTCCTATAATTATTACTGTACATAATTAAAACTGGAGTAAGCCATCAACAAATCACAATCCTTTAACTCCTCCCTCTCTGCTCGTAACTATTCCCTTTGGAAAAATACAATAAAAATTTATTCAGTCGGAACCATACTGCCCGCACCGTAACAGTCGAGGTCTCATTCCACTTTCCAACACCCCTAAAGCAATTCATCCTTCCTAAGTCAAATTGATTTATCTTTTTCAAATTCTAAGGATAATACATATTTTTTTACTGTAAACAATTTAACTGGTAAATTTAAATTTTAACTGTTTTTTTTAAATTAAACTTTCAAGTGTCCCAAAACATATTACACTGATTATACAATAGTAATTAATATTATATTACCTTAACAATATGAGGATTTGTCACAGTCACCAAAGTCCTGAATCCATAAATCCAATGAAAGCATAATCCATCTTTTCCATATGTTTCAGAAATTCTGATCATGTATTTTTCCATACCTGAACAAAAAATATTTTTTCTTCATTTTATACATTATAGCTTTTACCTATATTAAGTAATTATATTATAATTAAGTATAAATCAATTGCCTAAACTTATGGATAGGTATTTTCCAGTTAAGGCTCACAGCTTTAATTTCTTTATTAATTACTTTAATTAATCTATTTTAATTAATAAATATGTATTCGTGAGGGACAAGTCTACTGCTCTTTTTCACCTTCCCCATGGTGAGTAGATTTTACTCAACAGCTTTCTACAGAGCCTCATCAATATCCATAAATGGTATACTGGAGCCCTTCTTCCTTTCCAACGTTGTATTTCCACTGCTAATTTTTTCAAACCAACGCCACGCAGTGCGCTGGTCAAATACACATTCCCTTTCATATTTAATAAGTTCACGAGCTGCTTCAGTGGCTGTGATTTTTTTTTTTTTTTTTTTTTTGTAATGTCTTAAAATTATCAAAATTTCGTAGGACACTGTCATGTTTGTTCTTTGAAAGAAATAACTAAACTGAGGATTTTTTGAAGAAGTGAAATGGGATGAAACAAGCTTAGAGAATACTCTAAAGGGATTGTTAAGTATTGGAAAGTTTTAAATAGGATCAAAATATTTACTGTAGTTTGAAATCGGTCATTTTTTTTATACACCCTCTTGTTATTGTTCGTGTGATTACATTTAATAGAACTTCAAGAATCACTTAAATGCCATTTCATATACGTAGTTAGTATCTCTCTTTTTTTTTAATTAATTATCGTTTATATATATATATATATATATATATATATATATATATATATATATATATATATATATATATATATATATATATATATATATATATATACTGTTGCGTGAGATTCGTAATTGGTGCCCCGAGATACTCCCATGTCTCTCACCACTACACTGAGTGGCTCTTCCCCTCCATTCGAAGACAATATTTCCTAAGTACATTCCTCTATCATATCATCAACAATCATCGTCCTTCTTACGCCTACAACCTTCTCCAATGCAAGTCCTTAGTCCACTCCCTTTCCACAAGATCTCGACCTTCCGACCTTTACATTCCTTCTCACAGATCTGCCTCGTTCCAAAACTCCTTTATTGCGCGCTCTGTTAATTGTTGGAATTCCCTTCTTATCAAAACTCGACATTCTTCATCCCTGTCTACATTCAAAACCCTCCTATTCCAATTCCTGTCCCAAAAACAGTCAGATTCCCGCTAACCTTTTATGTAAAATTACATATTATTCATAATAATGTATTTACATATAGCTCATAACAGAAATACTTATTAGCAGATTCGACTTTTTTTTTCTTTCTAAAAGTATATATTTATATTTTACAATTGTACAGTTTTAAGTGTCTTGGCAAGGTTCAAGAGTTTTGTATATACAGTTTTTATTTATTTTGTATATAGTATGTAAAACTAATATTTTCTTTACTGATTTATCTTTACTTTTAATTTTTATGTTTGTTTTTATTTGGCCAGATACAACATTTTAATTTTGTACTTTTTTGTTATTCTGAAGGGACTTCGTTCCAGAATAAAATTATTTTCTATTCTATATATATATATATGTATGAAAAAAAATATTTCAGGCTGAAGCCCTCACTCCCCAAAATCAAATCCTGGATCCACTAGTGCTTAAAATGTTTATTTGCAAGAACATTTTTCTTTAAAAGTTCCACAAGAACTGTTTAAATGGAACTTTTTGGAAAAGTTCTACAGAAGTTTCGACTCCTGATTTTTAGTGCTAGTAGCTTAACCTATATTAATTCCAATAAATTATTAACAGTTCTTCATACTTACTATCCATGGTAACTAAGAAGAGAGTTCTGTAGAAATAGTAGAGGTTTCCGAAAACAGGGAACCCCAGAAGACCAGGATAAGAATATAGCTTGCGGACCCGAAACCACAGTAGCAGGCCCAAGACCAGGTGAGCCACCGCAATTATAAAAGCTGTGGTTGCAAACTTCTCCATCTTCCTGAAAATATACTCTACATTAAACATTTAAAAATCACCGAACAATTTTCACTTACCACTCAACTTTGGACGTTAAATACTTTTTGGCAAAATTGGAGGATTACAAAAAGTTTTTTAAGTGCATTTTTAATGTATCTAAAGCTCACACTTGTAGAATCTCGGTGGTATTTATTAATGCGAAAACTCTTTAAGACCATCAAACTATCGCAACCATGTTTATTATTCAACAAATAAGAACTCAACTAAATATACAGGATGTCTCGTAAGTAGAGCGAAATATTTAAAAGGTCGATAGTTGACATCAAGATCTACAATAAAGTGCATATAAACAATTGCACGATTTCGAACAGAAAAGTAGGCAATTTAAAATTGGTGTTTTTTAAGTGAGTCACGGTTTTTGTTGAATAGGAAGCGATATCAACAAAAATATTTAATATGAGTAATTAGCAATTGCTTCAAAGTAAAATAGATAAAATTTACTACAAACGAAAGTAGAGTTTGTCATTGTTTAGACCATTTAAAGGGGACTTTTGAGCGGCTGAACTCTAAGTTAAAATATCAATAATTATTTGCGATTTTTTTCTATTACCATCAAACTAAACTACAGATACCCCACATTTAGAAAAAAATTTATAATGAAAAACTTGAAAACTTAAAAAAAAAAATATTATGTTGAACTTAATTTGATTTTTAAAGTGCATATAATTCTTATATGTTTGTATAAGCGTTAAAAATCAAATTTTTATAAAATAGAAGTTTCTGAAAGAAGAAATATTAGCGATAGTAGAAAGTATAGGCTGCAGAGGTAATAAAAAATTAAATAGTGAATAATAGTATATATTTTTGTATTGGTCTAGCAATAATAATAAGCTAGAATCGTTGTTAGTGATTTTAGAGATCTTAATGGTAATGGCGAGAATAATAGTATTATAGATAAACATACGATCGTACGTACATACACAATTATATACACACACACACATACACATATATACATATAAGTGTAATCATATATATACTTAGGTATATATGTAGAAAAACAAAAGTACACACGTATACATAAAAAAAAATGCATGGTCCGGAGTTAGGACCAGAGAAGTGTTGGGGAGAGGGATAGGGGGAGGGGATAGGGAGTGGATAGGATGTTTGGGTATTTATAGTGTTAGTTGTATAAGTGGTATAGATGTTTTCTCCAAAATTAAATAGTGAATTTGTTTGAATACTAATGTCTTTTCTTTTCGATATTGTTTGAATTTTGTTTTGAAATTTCACCAAACGGTCTAGCAAACTGAGTTGGACTCTGTTCTTTAATTTTTTTTTTGCTTCATTTAAGGATATTTTATTTATGGTTTGGATGGTTTTTATTTATTTCTGTATTATAAAAATACGACAACGAAGATCTAACGAGATGTGGTTTAGGGAGCAGTTCGCACAGTGGGCTGGGCGTGTACATCCCACATTATCTTCGTGTTTTGCTTCCCCTCATTGTATACATTTGTTGTTTACAAACGTTCGAGGGGTGACCGAAAGATAAGCAATTGAAGCAGCGCAGGGGATTACGGATATAATCTTGTACATTGACCCTATGGAAACCTATCTTTATTGTTTCCGGAATTCTCGGTGTAGCAAATGTGACGATATAATAATTTATCAATATTTCATTTCCATTCTTTTTTATTTTAATACGTATTATATCATTTATCATTGGAGATTATTCTTCTTTAATTTCATCAATCTCTAGAAATTGGACGTCGTAACATCGAATCACTCCTTTACTGTAATTTAAAGTATTGTGGGGGGACACCTCAACCGGAAATTGTTCACCAAAATTTTTACATTTTAATAATTCTTCCGATTGTTTACTGTTTAGTTTAAATAAGTAATGTACCATTTCTTAGCTTTTTTACATATTTTAAGTTTCCCACCAAACCTGAAAGAAACTTATTTATTAAGAATGGAGATACTTTTTTAAAATTTTGATCATCTTATCTTAAAAGTGGCACTTCCGGTTAGCCGATTTTAAGGAAAAAGTTGCCGTCAAAACTAAGGTATATACCTATCTTAAATACGTGATATCAGTTTCATAGGACTTTTCGTTTTTGAGCAGAATAAATCAGAATAAAAACTACATTTTATTTAAAGCTGCCTAATTTTACACTGATATAATGAATTTAATCAAAATCGTTAGAGCCGTTCCCGAGAATTTGTAAAAAATGTGTTTATACCATGATATGAAGTGCCACTTTCGGTCAGTCGATTTTGACGAAAAAGTTACTGTAACATCCCTAGCATATAAAAACTTTAAATATGAAATTTCACTTTTTTACAACTTTTCGTTCTTGAGCTAGACTGTTAACACACAGACACACACACACATACAGACCATTTTTCGGGACTTGGTCATTCCGACTCAGGGTACCTCAAAACGTATAAATCCATCGAAAACTCAAATTCAAAAATTTTCTCGGTCGCAATACTTACACTTACTATATATTACATATATACGTAAGTGAAAGTAAAAATATTTAAAAATCGCGATATCTCTACTAATAGTGCTTCGATTTCGATGAAACTTCTTTTGTTTTTTAGGCAATTTAAATACCTTTGAAACATCAAACATTCCCAAAAAAGTATATACTTTTTGAGTTATTCGGAATTTAATTTTACCATCCCTCGTAACTTTTTTTCAGCTTCTTTTCGCTGATGAGTGTTATATAGATAAATTTGAAGGGTGTCGAGAAAATTACTTTAGCGAAGTTTCAATGAAATCGGTACATTCGTTTATAGCTACGTTTTTCTGCATTTTTATTTTTTTGTCTCCTTTATTAACTTATCAAATTCTTTCAAAAGTTATATTTAGCATTTTTTCGTAACTCTGAATAACGCGAAATAATTATCTTTTTAAAATAAACCAAATTAAAGGTACTTTAGAGGAAGACGTATATGAACATTGGGCATTTAAGCCCTGTAAAGCGACATCAATGGGGATAAGACCTAATTTATATTAAAGGCCACTTAATTATACAATGATACACCGAGTTTAATCAAAATCGTTAGAGCCGTTTTTGAGAAAACTGTGAAAATGTGTTTCAGCGTTGATATAAAATGGCACTTCCGGTTAGCCGATTTTAAGCAAAAAGTTGCCGTCACAACTAAGGCATATACCTATCTTAAATACGTGATATCAGTTTCATAGGACTTTTCGTTTTTGAGCTAGACTGTTAACACACAGACACACAGACCATTTTTCGGGACTTGGTCATTTCGACTCAGGGTACCTCAAAACGTATAACTCCGTCGAAAACTCAGATTCAAAAATTTTCTCGATCGCAATACTTACACTGACTATATATTACATATATACGTAAGTGAAAGTAAAAAGATGGGCTAATTGAGATCGCAACATTCGTATTTTTTGCTTCAAATTTAAGACGACCTCGAGGTCTTTTTCGTTTAGCCTTTGGGCTATTTAAATCTATAGGATCCCCCATAGAAGGATAAAATAAAACGTAATATAAGTATTTAAAATATCAAGTAATAAAGAAAAAAAATAGATGAAATGAAGTAAAATAAATATATCCTTATATTTTATTTTAAAAAATATATATATTATATATTAATATAAATGTATATATTCTTATCTGTGAGTAACCAGAGAGGCACGTCTTATCTCTTCCAATGCTTACACTGAACTCGTACTAGCAAAGTTACGAGTGTTACTTAAATTTTATTATTTTTACCTAAATATTTGTTCTTTAAAGTACCTAAAAAGCTATAAGTTAAAAGTAACTGCTCTAAAAGATTATTTGACAGAAATACGATCCAAACAGTTGCATAGCATTACATTTTAAGCCTGCAAAAAAAATTGAACCGGTAATGTTTCGAAGTCAATTATTGCTATTTTCGAACATTTATTTAACGATACCCGAAGTGATAATTGTCAAATTTTGTTTATTTGTAATTAGTCAATAAAGTTTTAATAAATATTCCCCCTCATTCTATTTATCTATATATATACACGTATATGAATTAAAAAGTAAAATGTTTTATGTATAACTAAATTTCTATGATCCATTACCAGAATATTTCGTGTTACCCGAGCACCTGTAGTAAGTAAACTAAACTTAAGAACTTCCTTATACTAATAGGTAATTTGCATTTAACTATAAATATATGAAGTGGGGATGGGATAGGAAACTGAAATGTATTTGTGATATTCAAAACAACTTTATTCATAATTAATTCTAATCATTATCGTTTTTACTTCGACTTACTTATAAAAACAAAAACACTGCAAATTATTTCACAACGGTTTATTATTTCCAAACAATTATACATCTAAAGTAACTTTAATTTCCTTGTAACAAGGAAAAATAAATAAAAGATAATTAGTATTATTGGCCTAAACATTTTTTTTCATCATTAGTAATTTACTCAAATAAAAAAATAGCATTACTTCAGTAACACTTTCTAAAATCAAAAACCAAAACAAAAGATACAGCCTTTGCAGTACAACATACAAAAGTATCTAGAGATCTTTGATCCAAATTGTTCTATTTTAACAATTTTTTTTTTATTTTTAGAAAATTTCGTAAACTTTTAAATAACCATATACCGTATCAATACAAACAGAAAAAATTGTAACTTTTTGAGTTATTCGGAAATCTAATTTTACCACTCCTCGTAACCTTTTTTCCAGCTTTTTTTCGTTGAAGTAAAATTAATCTAAAGAGCATCGAGAAGAAGACTTTATCGAAATTTTATTGAAATCGGTACATTTGTTTAGGCGCTACAGTCTATAGAAACACAGGTTTTTCTGCCGCCATTTTGAAAGAGAAAGGCAGAAAGTGATGTCGATGAAGTAGGGCCATCCTCGGATGACCTCTGACTTTAAATTCAAATTTGAAAAAAATTGGTCCAGTAGTTCCGGGGGAAATGCGGGGACGGACAAAAAAATTTGTATTATTACGTATTCTGAAAGGTAAAACCTCAAGTTTTTAGGGAGAGGGTTAAGTTTTTGAATTTTTTGTTCGATTAAAGTGGTTCATTATTGAAAATAATAAACCAAAAGAAAAATTTCTTATTTAAGTTTTCCAAATATATATTTCATATTACTTCAAACATTCCGAGCCCTAATGCAGGGCTTTCAACATCAAAATTTCTGAGGGGACACATTTTAACGAGCTTTTGAATTTTGGAGGGGGGGCACATTTCAACGGGGTTATGAATTTTCAAAATGAAAATTTTCAAACTAGGGAACAAGAGAAAAGCAAAGAACAAACCTCTGGAAGTGTCATTGTTTGTTTGTTTCGATGTCTAAGGCCAAAACATCCAGTTCATCAGCGCCAGATCAACTAAATAACACTACTTTTATACTGTTTAAGTGGTTGATACAAAAAATAAAAATAAAAAAAGGATAAAAAAAAATTAATAGTATAAAATAAATAAATAAAGATAATAATAAGATATAACAGATAAATAAATAAACATTTAATAAACTTCATTGAATTGCAAAATTCACATATACCTAAATCCAAACGACATCAAATAAATTAAATAATTCAACAAATTTTAATGACTGGTAAATACGAATATCCACACATTGAAAAATTGTATTTCTTTATTAAAGTGTTGATTTGCTGATTACTGTTGATAAAACGATAGATAGAACATCGCTTTCTGTGATTTCTTTACAAATATATGATATTTATTACTAATCAATTATGTAATAATTATTATATCATTTTCTATAATACTAAAAAACAAAATTTAATTGACATTTATTCAACCTAAAATAATTTCTAAATTTCTCTTCGTGAGCCATCAAGTGGGTAGTTATCAATTTTGTATAAAAACCTTTCCGCTTTCTTGTTCGGAATATATTTTTGATTGTACGTCTCCTTATCAACAACATTTTCTCATCTTATTCTTCTTCCTCTTCTAATAAAAAAGCGGTAGTAAAAGATAGTAAGTCCTTTTTTTTACTTTCACTTACGTATATATGTAATATATAGTAAGGATAAGTATTGCGATCGTGAAAATTTTTGAATCTGAGTTTTCAACGGAAATACACGTTTTGAGGTACCCCGCGGTCGAAATGACCAAGTCCCGAAAAGTGTGTGTGTATGTTAGCAGTCTAGCTCAAAAACGAAAAGTCGTACGAAACTGATATTACTTATTTAAAATAGGTATATGCCTCAGATGCGACAGTAACTTTTCCTATAAAATCGGCTAATCGGCTAAGTGCCACTTTATATTAACGCTGAAACACATTTTTAAATTTTCTCAAAAACAGCTCTAAACATTTTGATTAAACTCGGTGTATCCTTGTATAATTAAGTGGTATTTAATATCAATCAGGTCTTATCTCCACTGATGTCACTTTACAGTTCTTAAATGCTCAATGTTCATAAACGTCTTCCTTCAAAGTATCTTTAATATGGTTTATTTTTAAAAATTAATCATCTCAAACTATTCAGAGTTATGAAAAAATGCTAAATATAACTTTTGAAAGAATTTCATAATTGAATAAAAGAGAAAAAAATAAAAATGCCAGGTCGAAAATAAATCTCCGGAAGTAGTAGAAGTTAAAGAAGAGTGGGGAAAACATTATAAATAATAATGTCCGAAAACTAACATTATTTTACGTAAATCACATATTTCCAAGGAAATTAAATGCAATTTTCTTACTATATGTAAACTTTTAAATGTTTTTCTAAGATTAAAAAAAAAGTATTTAAAATCCACCGATCAAGCCAATTCCATTGTTTAAATTACTATTTCATTGTACTTGTGTGAAAGAAGAAGTGAAATATAAAAATATGTCAGGGATATGTTTGTAACCTCAAATATATTTAATATTGTGTATTAACTCTAGATAAGATATTATATTTAAATAATTAGGTATATGTCGGCCGTTTATTCCAAGAAATCATCAATTAACCTATTAGAACATTAAATTAGTGAATAATTTGATGAATTTTCCCTTTGTGAAATCCCAACATTATCCACTTACAATAAGTGTGAAAACTTTTGACCTATCCATGGCAAGGCAATGAAAATCTCGTAATTTTGTTTTAGTAAACTTTACAATGGGAAACATCATGTCAATAAATAATAGTTTTACGATCCATAATTATTTATAGGTTAAATATTCTGATATACTTTTAAATCTCTATATGTATTAAATCTCTATATGTGAGCCTATCGGTTGACTGAATGACTAACTCCATTTTCAATATTCTTTATTATTAATTTTAGTGATGTTTCTAATGGCAAAATTTATACTTTAATTCACAGTTCTATGTTTCAAAACTGCAATCACCTACTCCGGAATCAAGTTACTCACTGTCTGTATAGATAACTTTTTCAACTAGAAATATCACTGAAGTGACATTACTAAAAAATGTTGAAATTGGAGTTCGTCATTCTGTCAACTGTAAGGCTCAGAGACTGAAGTTCTGTGGTTTATAAAAGTAGATGGAGTGACTAGATTTTTATTGCCTACCGTCGATATAATAAATAGAGTTTCTATAATTTGAATGGTTTTAATGATTTGTTACCTGTAAGCTTTAAGCCTTAGCTCCGTTCAAAATATACTTCAAAATTTTATAATAGCCCAACATGGCCAGAAAATAGTTTCTATTCCAAGTAGAGCGGTAAGTGAAAGTTGTGTGTTGCGCGCACCAGATTTGTTATCTTCGAAGTTCTAATGAAATTTTCGAAGGTTATAGCCTAGTTATAACAACTCTAGTGAGCAGTTTCAGCGAAATAGTTACTCAATAGCGGTCGCTGCCGTAGGCAGTACCAGTGAAATAGTATCTTTACGATTTAAGTGGAAAGCAAATGGGTATCCGTTAGTGTTTAATATCTCATTAAATTTTATGAAAAAAAGCCCCTCTTTTTGAAATTTTACATAAATATATATATATATATATATATATATATATATATATATATATATATATATATATATATATATATATACATATATATATATATATGTATATATGTAATAAGATTAAGCCATTTACAAAGTTTTCGACAGATGTTAATAATTAGATAAAAAGGGGTTTGTACCATGGACTTCAAAATAATTGAAACTATAATTTATAAAGTGGTTTTATCTAATTCATACGCAAAATGCACTTGTCCGAACCCTGAACAAATCTTATTCTTTTTTCACGCCCAAGGTGATTTAGCCATTAATTTAGTGCCATTAGGAAAGATTATCTAATTATTTCTGTATCTTAAATACCATGTTTCTGATACGACACGTGGCCATTGCAACACTATGATTTTATAAATGATTTCAAATCTACTGTTTTTTAATGTATGATATTAACAATGTAATTTAAAACACGTTCTCTTTATAAAAACCAGGAAATTAGTGCCCGTTCTAACAAGGTTCGACTGTGGCTCTCTCTCTTGCTCAAGCTCTGAAGCTTAGAGGTGGTCGTCCACTCATTCTTGGATCATCCTATCTAAGCCTTTTCATTCTCTTCTTAAAATCGGCCAAGGCTGCGATCGTTAAAATTTTCTGCATTACTCTTTCATCTCAGCAGTGTTATCTCCAACTACTCACAAGTGGTCACACACGGTGGAATCCTCTCACAACAGCTAAGTATAATTGTTTTCATTATTTGAAGAGAGGTTATTTGGGGTGTTCAGAAACAAAGGAAAAAAAATAAATGGTATTTTTTTTTTTTTATTTAATAGAATTTACAACTGTATACAAATACAACAAGTAAATATGCGCAAATATAAATAATGGCATGTACAGGCTTTAAGAGTTACTACCCAGTGGTAGCACTCTCTAAATAATTTTAAGTAAGAAGATCACGAGGCCATCTCCTTTTCAGACGCCTAGGAGGATTATCAGGAATCGAGAAAGAAGCAAGAGTGGAAACAAGCGGATTTGGATGGGACTGAAGTTTATCATGAAAGGATAGATATCTGGCTCGAGCTAAATCAGCGACATATGGTACATTAAGGTCTTTATGAATGGTTTTATTTGTGACAAAGTAAGGAGCATTAAGGATTTTACGGAGGATTTTGGATTGTTAGGATTGGATACGATAGGAATTCGATGGTTTGGTGGAGCCCCAAAGCTCAACTCTGTATGTCCATATAGGTCTTATTATAGTTATGTAGATAAGTCTTTTGTAATTAATAGAAAGTTTGGAGCGTTTGTCTAGTAAATGTTGGAGCAGTCGGAAATGTCAAGCAGTTTCTTGTCGTTTCAGTCTTGTATGAGGATTCCAAGTAAGATGTTTATCCAAATGGAGTCCTAAGTAGCGGATTTGCTCAACAGGAATAAATGGTATTTAATTTTATATTTGTCTATGACCTCGTAGTCTTTGGTAACAATGGAAAGAACCTCCAGTTTAATCTACGTGCCCTAAGATATCGACTAAGAGAAATAAACATGGAGATAAATTTAACAAAGACAAAAATCATGCGTGTCGGAAGAATGACCAACCAGGGAGACTGAGCCAATAGACTGGATGGAACAAGAATTGCACGAGTAAGCGGCTTCAGATACCTGTAGTGTAAATGGAACAATTCTAAAGCGATCTTACTCCTGTAATTGAAAAAATCTGGTGCGCGCAACACACAACTTTCACTTACCAATCTACTTTGAATAGAAATTATTTTCTGGCAATGCTGGGCTATTATAAAAATTTTTGAAGTGCATTTTAAACGGAGCTAAAGCATACAGATAACAAGTCATTAAGACCATTATAATTACAAAATGTCTATTTAATATATTGACGACAGGCAAAAAAAATCTATTCACTCTATCTACTTTTATAAACCACAGAACTTCAGTCTCTGAGCCCTACAGTTGACAGAATGACGAACTCCAATTTCAACATTTTTTAGTAATGTCACTTCAGTGATATTTCTAGTTGAAAAAGTTATCTACACAGGCAGTGAGTAACTTGATTTCGGAGTAGATGATTGCAGTTTTGAAACATAGAACTGTGAATTAAAGTATAAATTTAGGTACTACTTTCTTATGAAAAATGTTCTTAGGAAAGATACTTTATTAAATATGTGTAGAAAAAAGTTTTTTTTAGTCTCAACAATTAAAAAAATATATTTTAAATTTATCCAAATTTTCACCTCTTCAGGGAAAAAAACTAGAGACCATATCTTTCCTCCTAATTGTCCGATTTTAACGATTTTTTTTTTTTTTTTTTTAGAAAATTCCGTAAACTTTTAAAAACCATACAATATCGACAAAAAAGCGTATACTTTTTGAGTTATTCGGAATTTAATTTCAACACCCCTCGTAACTTTTTTTCCAGCTTCTTTTCGTTGAAGTATGTTATATAGATAAATTTAAAGGGCATGGAGAAAATGACTTTAGCGAAGTTTCATTGAAATCGGTACATTCGTTTAGGCGCTACAGTGTGTAGGAACGCAGGTTTTTCTGTATTGTTATTTTTTTTTTCTCCTTTTTTAATTTATCGAATTCTTTCAAAAGTTATATGTAGCATTTTTTCGTAACTCTGAATAATGCGAAATGGTTAACTTTTTAAAATAAACCATATTAAAGGTACTTTAGAGGAAGACATATATGAACATTGGGCATTTAAGCCCTGTAAAGTGACATCAACGGGGATAAGACATAAATGATATTAAAGACCACTCAATTATACAATGATACACAGAGTTTGATCAAAATACCATACACGCTTTTTGTATAAAGTATACGCTTTTTTGTCGAGCTGTTTCTTGTCGTTTCAGTCTGGTATGAGCGTAATTCAATAACTAAATTCAATTTCAATTGCTAAATTCCCAATTAAATAAAACGACAACCTCTGGAATCTACTCATGTTTGAATAATAGCCCATTACAGAGAGGTTGAAACGTTGAAACAATTCCCTCTCTTACAGTATGCAGGTCCGATTTTTAGTTTCTGACATATTTTAATCCATATCTTCAATAAAACTCGTTATCATTTTGATTTCTACAGCATTTTTTTCCTTTTTGCCTCTCTAACACGGCGTCAACACCTTTTCGCCAAGGTGATGCGTTCTATTTAACTTAAGAAGGCAGTCAGGGATTCTGGTCTACAAACTAATGGGACAATTTACAGCCGGATGGTTCAGCTATTAGCCTATGCGGATGATGTGGACATCGTGGGGCGGACGTTGCAATTTGTAAGAGAGGGATTTTTAGCTTTGTTGGAGGCCACCAGAACACTTGGACTAGAAGTGAATGAAGACAAAACTAAATATATGGTCACAGGAAAAGTCCCTCGACCAGGCGAGACCATCAATATTGGCCCCTTTAACTTTGAGAAAGTAATGCAGTTTAAGTATTTGAAGTCACTGGTAACACAAGACAATGCACCCGAGGTCGAGGTCAAGAAAAGAATATTTACGGCTAACCAATGTTACTTTATCCTTAACAAGGAATTCACCTCTCGCCTTTTATCCCGGTATAACAACAATCCTTATAAAACACTAATCCGCCCAGTCCTGCTATATGGTTAAGAAATATGGACGGCGACTAAAAAAATTGAGCAAGACCTCTTAATCTTTGAGAGAAAAATTTTTCGAAGAATTGATGGGAATTGGAAAAGACGTACAAATGCCGAAATTTACTCAACTTTTAATGATCAAGATGTCGTTCTGAGGATGAAGCTTGGAAGATTGAGATGGGCTGGTCATGTGGCAAGCATGGAGAATGAAGCTATCCCTAAGGGTCTCCTGAAAGAACCTATCTACCGCACGAGAAGAAGAGGGAGACCAAAACTAAGATGGTCAGATGGTATGGCTAGAGATTCAAGAGATGTCCTGGGAGTCAGGAGCTGTATGATGGCCGCACAGAACAGAGATGACAGGAGGAAGGTGGTGAAGCAGGCCAAGACTCGTCACCGAGTTGTAGCACCGTGATGATAATAATAATAATAACCCGCCGTAGCGTTAACATATAATTTTGAATAATAGCCCATTACAAAGAGGATGAAATGATTAACATATCCCTTGCTTACAGTATGCAGGTCCGATTGTTAGTTTCTGAAATATTTTAATCCATATGCAAAAACACTTTTATTTTTGACTTCAGTCGAATAATTCACCCTCCGCAAAATATTGCAAAACGTACCTAAAGAAGTTTTCGCTTCAATAATTTACTGAATGCTTCAATAATTTACTGAATGCTTACTGCAGTAATCGCGTAACATCTTTGAGATGATTCAGCTAATAATTCAATTGAACTTGACAAGAAAAAACCCGCATAACTACTGACATGTGGCTGTAATTAGGATAGGAGGATAGCAGAGAGAAGGGATTTGCGGGTTAAACAGACTGTTGCCACGTTCACAAATGTTTCTCTTGAATCTCTCAGATGTCATGCGACTACTGGATTTTTGGATGGTGGTAATGGATTTTTTCATAGATAAGCCTTACTGAAAGTCACAAATCGTTATTTAAGGTTACGTTAAAATGTCCTTCAAAGACTCAAAGACTATTTATGTAATATATAGTAAGAAAAAGTATTGCGACCGTGAAAATGTTCGAATCTGTGTTTTCAACGGAAATACACCTTTTGAGGTCTCCTGAATTGCGTATTTCAGGTTCTTCTAATCCTTGGGTGTTATAGTGACATTTTCTTCAAAATCGGCAAACTGGAAGTGGTACTTTACATAATCGATTTAACACATTTTTATGATTTTCTCAAAAACGGTACTAAGGATTTTGATTAAACTCAGTATATCAGTGTATTATTAAGCAGTTTTTAAGATAATGTAGGTTTTATTCTCATTGATGTTCTCTAACAGGGCTTAAATGGCTACTTTTCAATATTAGCTTCCTCTAAAGTACTTGTAATTTTTTTTATTTGAAGTAATTAACCATTTCTCATTAATCATTGATACAAGAAATAGTTAAATATAAAATATGAAAGAATTTTATAATTAACTAAAGGCGATATAATATATAGATCCTAACGGATAATAGTAATTAAAGAACCAAAGTAATACGAGCGTGTCCGAGCTCACCCGAGCTTGCCTGAAAAAGTACCTATGTAACATGAGGTTATTATAATACGGACTCCGACAATATTATGTACATATAAATATGCGGTTTTCATAAACGCTATCGGTGGTATTATTAAATATTTAATTGTATAGAATACAACTTTCTAAAAATTAAAATTTTTCTATATAAGGATATTTAAACAAATAAAAATACCCATAATGAAATGTAAATAAATATTGCATCTATAATTTTTACTATCACTTCCCCTTTGTCTGAACATACTTATCTCTGTTGAAAAGAGGGTGGTAAGTGAAAGTCGTGTGATGTGCGCACCAGATTTTTTTCTTTCAATTTAGAATTAAATATTTTATTTGTTTATCTACTAAAATTCAACATCTTTGTAAATCTGCAAACACCACCTTTGCATATAATAATGCAATATTAAATCATTTAGTTTATCAAATATTTGAAATTATAGTGATTTTCTATTTTTTTTTAAAATGTATGTAAAATATTAAAATATTTTTGTAATATGTATTAGATTTGAAGTAGGTAAAAATCTGTGCCCCAGAGGTTAATCACATCATGTTCACTTGTTTATTAAATCATTTAGTAACTTAGAAAAAAATGTTAATAGCTCATAATGATGTAGAGATGGTTGACCGTGATATAATATGAGAAGGAGTTGGTCGGGGGGTGCGGTCAAATAAATACTAAATTTTAAAAAAATTAAAAATACTGTTTTTAACCAACTCCTTCTCTTAATAGTTATGTAAAATTGGCTCTCCTTAATAATACAAAAATGGATGTGGTGTTCTTTACCTCCTGGCTACAGATATGTCCTAGTTGAATATTTCGCCATTTTTACTGAATATAATTCTTATAATATATTATTAACCTGAATATTTTTGCTCTGTAAGAAATCGCATTTCATCTAAATCTCCTAATGCCATGTACGGAGGATTTAGTATCGATTCTGATGGATCTTTTGCCACTCCCTGTAAGTACTGAAGTTTTATGTTCTTCTACAACAATGATCAAAAAAAATTTTATAAATATAATAATAATAAAAAAGATAATAGATACTTTTATTTATTAAATTATATCTGTATAAGTAAAAGATAGGGTTGTATGTGCAACTAAGGCTCGATTTAAGGCCATCAGTTACACAATGGACTTAAATGATAATAATAACATTAATTTTATCACTATTTAAATTTTGATGCATAGATTCATAAACTGTCCTTGGAAGTATTCAAGAAGACATTGAGAAAATCCCTACTACACTGATAAAAGAGGTAGATCAGATTGGCCTACAAGTAAATGAAGACAAAAAAAAGTATATGATAATGAGCCGAAAATTCCTCAGGTGTAACACATACCGTCACGGTGAGTAAGATATTAATTAAAGAATAACTTTCGGATTAATTTTCATGATAACACTGTTTTATTCAAAACTAGAATGTTTTTATTCCATAATCAATGAACTGACCAATATTTAAAGCCACCTATGAAGATGATAATTTGACATAAGTTTGTTTTTTATTTATTTTACACTAAACATATCGAATGAAACCATTGATGGTACAATTAATAATTATTTCTATTTAAGTTTTCAAGTATTAATGGTCAGTTCACAAAATTACAATAAGGTCATTAGTTTTGTATCTCTTTTCCAAAAACATTATTTGGTATTGAAACCAGTTTAGTGTATCATCCTGTGATTATTAAAGTTATAAAAACTTATTAAAATTTTAACGATGATACGAAAAATTGATGCAATAATGTTTAGAAAATTATCTCAGAATTAGTAAATTACTAATTATACATTCACAATGTATTGTGAATTTAAATATTCATCTGCAAATATTAAATTGTGTTTAAAATGTATTTCTGTATTATACTCTATTGCTGTAGATTCTGAAAGGGGTAGACAAGATTAGGAATAAGTAAGAGAATTTATTTCATTTCGAAATTGGTAGATTAATAAGATATGTTTGTAAAATTAATAAACAGCTAGTGTCTATATCTTTATGTAGTCAATTTAACTAACATTATTTATAAAACTCTTTTTCAATGATCTTTATCTTCTGTTTTTTTTTATAAAGAACAACCCTTATCAATGCAGATTGTGTCAAGAAGTATGAAATTTAATGGAAGCAGGAATACATTAACAAATTAGCTAAAAAAATTGTTCTTCCCCGTATGTATTAATATTTGCATATTATTAATCTTTAGTAAAATAAGATATAAATTTTTAGATCAACATAGATATACATATTTCTACAAGGTTTAACATTAATGATCAATCATCTATGGAAATGAACATTGAGAAGTAGAGACCTGTAAACTGAATTCTGTAAAGAAAATGTGGATATGATATGAATATAGGAACAAATTATTATAATTCTTGCTGAAAAACATTTCCTATTCTTCTTCAGTGAGTAGCTTCAGAAGGAAACAGGGGATGCCAAGTAAATGACTTAAAACCGTGGACTTAAAAAGGACCAAACAGCCTTTTTTCAAGTCTCTAAAGGTTTTATAAGCTAATATGATGAATATGATAAATCTAATATGATAAAGACCTCTTTATCAGATGTCTGTTTCTTATTTAATATCTAATAATAATACATTTATTTTATTTTTACTGTGTACCTTTTATATATGTATCTTTTTGTTGGCGTAACCAATAAAATACTATTTAAGTATATAGTATTTATTGTATGGCTCCTCGATTAACTCTTTCTCGTAAAATAATATCATATTTAATGATGGTTGACAGTATGATAAATCAAGAAGTGGATCATCTCCCCAGAAACTCAAGAATCAGTTAAATAAAAAAAACATCAAATAACTGTTAACTATTTATTCAATACCTATGCTTCAGTCTATTGAAATATATAATTTTAAATACAGTAAAACATATCATTAATAATTATTATAATATTATTATCAAATAAACTGTGTTTGTTAACTTGGTGTCTTCTGGAGACAGCCGTGTGAATGAAGAATTGACTCTTGATGAGTTTGATCTTTGATCTCGATAGATCAAAATAGTCTTGCAGGTTGAAAAATCCAGAATTAGTTTGTTTTTTTTTGAGTGGGGAAGCAAGGCACTGCCAGGGTGATCACAGAATTTTGGTAAAATATTGCCTTGTCTATGGTAGAAATGTTATTAATTGATTATTTAATTTAAAATTTATTGTCATTGATATAAACAAGATAATTAATTAATTTCATTGATGTATCTACGATTGATATCTCTCAAGATGAGGCAATTTTTTTTATTTTTCCTTATGTAATAAATGATAATTTTTTTCAGTTATTTACAAGTAAATATATAAAAGTATCAAGAAAAATAACCCCTAAAAATATTATTATTCCTGTAATTAAATTGTTACAGCATTCAAACATTACTTACCATTATTTTAAATAATTTATTTTTCTCCCAGAGTAATTAGGGTAAGTGTACAAGTGACGGACATATCTAAGGAAATTTTTGTCTTTTTTGGCTTACGTCGTCGTAATTATTATAGTTATAAACTTCTCTGTTGGACATCCAAAATCTCTAAGGCCTCCTTTTTCTATATAACACTTTAAAAATGAAAAAATATTCAGTTATGCAGGTATAATCTCCATTTAAAAAAAACAAAACATCTTTTTGCACTTGTGATGGACGCCCTGAAATTCAATTTTTCTTATAATTGACAGGGGATCAGGACCAGTAATATTCTGATACCTCAGAAACATTCTAAAATCTTTATTTAACTATAAAGATGAAAATAAAGATAACATAACATAAATGTTCAACTTAATCTTAGCAAAGCTGTTAGTAGGAAGATATGAAGTACACTGATCTCAAGAGCACTATAGTAACTACAATGACATGCATTTTAAAATTTACTTTTGGAAACTTTGTTCATACTTTTGCCAATAGAGGGCATTCTTTTCCAGCCTGGAAAAACTGGAACATTTAAATTGCAAGGAAGCTCCCTGTCCATAACTAGTGTCTTCACCCTACAGTTAGAAAAAAAAATGATGTTTTGCTTCTGCATGTGCCTAAAGTGAAAACTGTGGTGAATTTAAATCTATCAACTCTTTATATTTGAACTAATAAAACCTTGTTTATAATCTCTACAACAAATAAGATTTTAGGATTCCCATTAAATAATATTCCTCCACAGTTATTTTAGTTCAATATCCTTAAATTATGTTTGGTTTGTGGTATAAAAATTTATAAACCTACAGTTCCTTAATGTCAGAGAAGTGAATAAAATATTAAAATTATTCATGTGGACTGTTTTATCAATAGGGATGAGCTTTATAGGATTTTTTTATAGATTGTAGAGCAAATATATAATATTAATAACTATGTTGATTTTATAGAAATTAAATTTATTAACATATCTTATCTTTATGTTTGTTTTTTTTCAGTCTTCACATCTTCTTATCTCTGCATTATCAAACAAGAAAGAGCTTAGCAAGAGCAATATGAATTATTTGAAAATGACAGCAAGCATCCAACCATTGATGATTTATAGCATATACAGTTTCTTTATAGGTGTGGATTAATGAACAGGATTTATTTTTTATTTATTTTCAAGTACATCAGATTTAGCCTGAAGAAACTTCCAATAAATTCCAATGACCATCTCTTCTTCCAATGCCAGTAGAATGCTTCTGAGCTATGCAGTAATCAGATCCATATAAGGTTATTTGTAATATATGCAATTATATAAATTGACAAAATAATAACATATTTATTTTATTTAATGCACTAGCGGATCCAGTTCTAGCGGTTTTCTAGTTGGAGCTACTATAACAAAATAAATGTTTTCATAAGTCCATATTGGTTTCTGTAACTGATCTGAGCTAAATATTAGGGTGTTCCATAAATTCCTTCCTTTTCTTTATTTGTTGTTTAAGGTCGATTAGCTGTGTTATATATGAACCGTTCTCCTCTATTACCTTTTTTCATCTCTCAGGAAGCCTCTTTATACCATTTTTCCAAAATTGTTGAGATTTACTTGCACAAACTAGAAACAAGTAATAATTGGTAATGTAAGTTGTTGTTTTTTTATTGTATTACTCTCTACCCATTTCTGGCATACGAAGGGAAGGGACAGGTTTGTTCTAGAGGTTCAACCAAACCTATTCTTACCAGAGTGGGAGGGTCGAGTTTCATTCGGTAGGTTCGCCAAGAAATAAGTCAACTGTTCCGAGGCTGGATTCGAACTGCCGTCTCTATGCACGAGAATGTTATATTGGGCAACGCTCTTACACGCTCGGCCATCACAACCTCAACTGTAGGACTTCCTGTCTTACGGCAAATGTCGCATGTTGTGATGAGACTTTCTACCTCAGCCATCCCTTTGATGTGCCCAGTCCATTGCCTCTCAAAATTTGTGGTTTTTATTTTCAGGATATGTAGAATTCGAAAATCGAATAATTTCTATTTTTGTTAGTCCGCCGTTCGTGCATTTTCTCCGAAACTACTGGACTGATTTTTAGCAATTTTGGATTTAAAATCATAGGTTACCCAAGGATGATCCTCCTACATCGGCATTACTATCTTCCTTTTCCTTTCAAGATAGTGACCGAAAAACCTGCTTTGCTATAGACTGTAAAGCTTAAACGAATGTACCGATTTCGATGAAACTTGGCAAAAATCTTCTTCTTAATGTCCTTTAAAATTCTCTATATAACATACGTCAGCGAAAAAAGTTACAAGGGGTGTTAAAATTAGACTTCGAATAACTCAAAAAGAATACATGGTTTTTAAGAAGTTTACATTTCCTAAAATAAAATTGCTAAAATCGGACAATTTGCAGTAAAGATATGGCCTCTAGATATTTTTTGTATGTTCTACTGCAATGGTTATATCCTTTGTTTTGGTTTTTGATTTTTGAAAGTGTTAATGAAATACTGCTTTTTTTTCTGTTCATTTATCCTAATTTTGGTGTCTTGAGGTTTTATTTTTTATATAAATTAGGCGAATTATCACCAAACATTTTATTGATACGCTATTTAATTCGACGTTTCGACCATACTAAGGGTCATTTTCAAGTCTTGATGAGTCCCACAGGCGGATTTACGGGGGGGGCTTTCGGGCTGAAGCCCCCCCAAAATGGTAAAATGTAACCATGATTTATGGTAAAAAATATAAAAAAAATATGTCTTAAAGTATTATTGCTCGTTTAATTACATTTAGCAGGGCTTCAAGAATCACTTAAACACCATTTCATGTAGGTAGTTTGTATCTTTCTGTTTTTCCAACGTAATTATCGTTATTTTTATGAAAAAAAAGCTTCCGGGCTGAAGCCCTCCCCCAAAATTAAATCCTGGATCCGCTAGTGATGAGTCCTCCGTTATATATTCATCATTTCTGAAATGAAGAAGGTGAAACCCCTATAGACCATGACTATTTAATGTTCACTGAACATATTATTTGCGACATTAATGATGAATATATAACGGAGGACTCATCAAAACTTGAAAATGACTCTTAGTATGGTCGAAACGTCAAATTAAATACCGTATCAATAAAATGTTTGGTGCTATTTTTTTTTTTTTTAACTAATTAATAATGATGAAAAAATAAATTTTTTAATCCAAAATTAGGAATCATCTTTCATTTCTTTTTTCTTTGTTAGTAGGAAGGTAATGTTACTTTAGATTTAGATTTTTTGGAAACAATGTGAAATAATTTGCAGCGTTTTTTTTTTTGTTGTTTTTTAAGAAAATTTAATAAATATTCAAATAATCAAGGGAAAAATTATATACTTTTTAATTGTGGATTGGATGGTTGACTGTAGTGAATAATTTAAGAAAAGAATGGTTGGGGTGATCAGTCAAAATAAAATAGTAAAAATAAATAATTATATTTACTATTTTTTAATTGTTATAGTTATATTATATTATAGTTATTATATTTAATAATTATAGTTACAAGATTCATCGCTGCTTCAATTAATAACCTTTGGTTTGATACCTTAATCATCAATATCCATCGCTCTTCAGAGTCGGAAAAGTGATCATTACGGCGAAACAACTATTGTATTATATTATAATCATACCTATGTATTCCACTATATATTCTATGTATTAAACTCAACTCCATTTGGGCTCTCCCAAAAACAAATAACATCTCAAGTTTGTATTTATAATTGAAGTATTTTACAATAGTCTATAAGAATTTGTTATAATATAGAAATACATTGTAAATTTATTTAAATTGGGATTTGATAAACGACTTTTAGTGTTGCAATGTAGGTTACTTCAAGAGTTCCCCACTTCGGTGCCTTAAGATACTCGTATTTAAGTCATGGTAAAAGGAAAAGGGACTATAAAGAAGCGTATAAGGTTTAGGACCCATTCACTTTGCTGGCGGTTTCTAGGAAAGAGAGAAATAAGTAATGGATAAGACTAAAATGGACTCAGGAGTAAGGAAAAGAAGGACTAAGTGATGAAGAGTAAAAGGAGTGAGGAAATCATAAACTTCTCTATCAGAGTGGATATCTCTTTGGAACTTACTACTGAGGTGGCAAGTTTAAACGCTCCCCAACGAACTTCATCTTCATAGTTTCTATTATTAATTTAGTAAAATACATAAATAATTTTAGAAGTGAAACTTTTTCATTATTTCATTGCAAAAAAATTTGTCTTTGTAGACCGAAGAAAAATATGAGATTTTCGCAGATTATGCTTCGTGTTAAAACGCTACTGTTTTCATTAAAGTACACAAAAATGCTTCAAATAATGCATTATAAAGACCATTATACTGTCACAATTCTAATTTATTCTGGAAAAAAATATTACAGAAAGTCTGCAAATTTAAAAAAAAAAATCTGGTGCTGTGCGCGCATCACACAACTTTCACTTACGCGCATCTCACAACTCTTCTTAGCAGAAATAAGTATTTTCAGACAAAGGAGAAGTGGAAGTAAAAATTATAGACGCTATAATTATTTATATTTCATTGTGGGTATTTTTATTTGTATAAGTACTCTTATATATACAAATTTTAATATTTATATCGCTGTAATCTATACAATTAAATATTAAATAATACCAATATTAGCACTTATGAAAACCGCAATTACAACTATTCTCCGTTACGATTTTTTATTTCTCCTTTAGTTAATTATCAAATTATTTCATATTTTATATTTAACTATCTTTTATATTAGAAATTAATGTGAAATAGTCAATTGTATCAAATAAAACAAATTAAAGGTACCTTAGAGTAAGCTAATATTGAAAATTAAGCCCTATTAGAGAACATAAATCAGAATAAAAACTACATTATATTTAAAGCTGCCTAATTTTACACTGATATAATGAATTTAATCAAAATAGTTTGAGCCGTTTCCGAGAAAATTGTAAAAATGTGTTTAGCCCAAGATATGAAGTGCCACTTCCGGTCAGTCGATTTTTACGAAAAAGTTACTGTAACATCCCTAGCATATAAAAACATTAAATATGAAATTTCACTTTTGTACAACTTTTCGTTTTTGAGCTAGACTGTTAACACAGACACACAGACCATTTTGCGGGACTTGGTTATTTGGACTCAGGGAACCACAAAACGTGTATTTCCGTTGAAAACTGATAAAAAAAATTTTCACGATCGCAATACTTTCCTTTACTATATGTATCATAAATAGGTAAGTGAAAACAATGAAACCACTGAATATGAAAATAATAATGAAGCGTTCCATTGAATGCCTTGGAAAACCTCATGCATTCCTTATCAATAAAATGCTATATTCTCGTACAACTGTGCTTTTTATAGAATGTGTCCATTCAGAAACAAAAAAAAAAAAAGATTAATGAGGTTTGTTTTCCTCAAAATTTATGAAAGAAAACATTTGAGTACGATTTCTTTGATAAACAAAGTAAACCGGTTTGTGGTAGATCAGCGTAAAAAAATCAATACTCTCTAATATTGCTAATCAAAAACTTTTTTCCACGGCTCAATTTTGTCAGAAAATAATATCTGTTAAAAAAAGAGGAAATAGTGAGACTTGTATGATGCGGGCACGAGATTTCTTCACTTTCACTTAATATTCTTTTCTCTCTCTTTGTTTTAAAATAAATTTTACTGAAGAATATATACTGAGCGAGCTAGGCCCAAAACATTTTTCTTTTCTTTATAACTTTTTTTCCTGAATTTTCTCGGGCATTTAGTACATGTAAGAGAATTTAAAAGAACATTAATTAAAAAATTATAGTTGCGCTAGAGTTTATAAAAAATCAGGTCTTTCTTTTATAGCGCAGGGAGCACCCGATTTGGGTCACAGACACCAATAGTCAAAACTCTACAAAATAAAAAAGAAAGCTACAAAATCGGTCAACTAGTTCCCGAGATAATCCTGAGTTAACGAGTCGGACGCAGTGAAGACTTTATGAGTAATGGTTTTATTCATAATTTTACAAATGGCATCTTAAAATACAGAGTAATATACAATGGATATATGAGTTGACTACATGAGTTCACTCCAGGTCTCCTACAGTGAAGAGTATGACATCAAGAGAATTAACTATATGAGTGATTTCGTCTTAGAAGGATG